CAAACTTTAGATCAAGTCAAGTGTGCAACTCATGAAAGCGACTCTTTGGCAGAGCTTGGTGACTGGAGAGAGAGACGCGTAAATGAACAGAAAGAGTCAGGTTGGAGTTTACTACATTTAGATGAGTGTGTGTGTCTGTTCTTTGTGAATTGCATCACAAAACAGGCTTTTTGCTACTTATTTCGCCTTACTGCATGTTTATCCACAAAAAGCTTGGAAAAATGTATTAAAAAAGTAATAACTTGGGGAATAGGTTATAAAATAGGCACAATTAAATAACTGAAAAAACACGTAAAACGACTTTTGCGTACTCCTTTGGTTCTCATTTGCTGATTAATATTTTTAGTCGAATGCTAAGCTGCTACAAGTAGCCTAATACTAATTGGAATCTTATCTGAAGTGGCAAATTTCGTTTAGATCTGGAGAAATGGAAGGTCACGTACGAAGATGCATTTAATACGAATGGTAAATTTTCATCAGTTCTTTGCAATTATATGATGCAGTGAACATTACATGGACTGAGGTCGCTGTAAACTACTTCCGTTTCCTGTACTTTGTGGCTGCGATGGACCGAACATGCCACCAATGCTACATTGCACAATCAGAATAGAAAAACTTAGATAAGTTATTGAAATAAAATGCTCAAAACTAAGTGAGGGTTTCCGAAAAATCGTATTCGTAGAGCTATTCTATTTTACCACTGAATGTAGAGTATCTGGACAGAATAAATAGTGTCCACTCCTTATACTGGGATTTCACTAATGATATCAAAACTCCCAATGTATTAATTTATCGGTTTTTAACATTAGATGTGTCCGTAATTTCGTGAACTTATACAGTTTTTTTTTTATAATTTATCAACGCCGATAAACCACAGATGATGTAAAACAAGTTGACACTCGTCACTTTTTGTAAGTAAAAACGCCAGCTGCTAAATTAAAATTGCATTAATCGAATTTAGACTTCACACTATTCCAGCAATTAACGGCTCTCATTATGTAATAGTTATTTGTGCAACTAGTGAGCAAAGTGAGCAATTGTCTCACTCGAGAGAAATCCTTACTCACGAGCCGTAGGCGAGTTTTATTTAGGTTTATAGTTACATTTTTCCTACAGTTACCATAAAACAAATAAATTGGTAAAGAAACGTGCCATCACGTTGCAAATCTGGAGTGGGACAAAGTAATTAGAGTGAGACAATATTAACATTGTCTCACTGATGAGCGAATTGGCCACTTTGCTTTCTCAAATCAGTGAGAGAACATGTACATTGTTAGGTAACTGTAGGAAAAAAAATATTCTGTAATAATATGCCATTATATTGACCGATATAAAACGCAATGTAATTCACACAAATTGAATGTCTTCGTAAAATTTTTAAATAACCAAAAGCATGTTAAAAGTCAAAAATGGAAAGAGAAAAGGAACAGTGCTGAGACCCATACAACATGTGTTTCCACTTGAATTGGTCCAGCAGAAAGACAATCAAGATGGTAATGAAACATTTGAATTGGAAGATGAACAAGTGGCTGAAGGTGTTGATCGTGAACATGATCAACCTTATTATACACAATGAGGAAGAAAAATTAGACCACCACGAAGATACCTGAAGCAATAATTAATATTTTGACTTTAAAGGTCAAAAGGTGGGAGAATATTAGATATAGTATTCAAACATACTTTCAATAAGCATCATATACAGTAAAAATACGTAACAGAGTTGAAATTTGCATTAAAACCGCTACAATATCCAAAGACAAAGCTTTGTAAAATAGTTGGTTTGGAACGACCTGCGAGGTACTCATATAGTTGTGATTTTGTGAGTTTGCCAAACTAGAACAATGGTGGAGCTCTGGGACAATGTCTTGTTGAGACGAATAGTTTCAAATGTGATACAATTCAGTTACGTTGAATGTGTTAAATAAATACGGCTTCGAATGTGGAACACAGAACTCGCAAAAGAATTGTTATTTGAGTGATAAAATCATAATATCGCACTAGCAAGCTCTCTCTCTGTAGTTCAGGGATTGTGATATGTTTATAATCTACCAAGTCTAATCAAGTATATCTAAACTTATATATACTACATTGTATCTCTTTTGACTTTGATTAGTCTAAGTTGAATATTGCGGTGATTTTGATCACGTCTTGGGATCTGGACTCTGATCCCGTCCTCAGGTGGGAAAGATTAGTTCACAACCCATAGCCAAAGCGGGGTAATCAGAAAAGAAATACATGAGTAATGTATAGTTATGATTACATTTTAAAAGAAAAGTCATATTTTATTTTATTTTTATTTTATTTTATTTACATGCTTCAATACAGTTTAAAGACCATTTACATTGAAGCAGTTCATGCACTTATAATATTATTGCTTCAGTGGGTTTCTTCTTGTCTTTTCACTTCATTTTTACTTACACTTACATGCCATGCATTTAATACTAACATAAAAACAAAATTATCAATAACTATAACAACAATGTATATATATTTAAAAAATATTAACAATGATAAATTATATAAATATATAAATACTGAGTAGTAAAAATAAATAGAACAACGAAAAATATATAAATTACATTTACTGATTGATTAATACTGTTTTTAATTTCAATTTGAAATTGTTTATGTTGTCAGAGAAAATATCAATATTATTGCACTTTTTTATTACGTAATTGTAGTCTTTCATTAATCGATAGAGGGGGGAGGAGGCATGGGCAGTGGTGCGGCTGTAGGGCAACGAGAAGAGATGTTTGTTTCTACTATTGAAGCAGGGTACGCGATAAGACAGGCCGGCCAGGCTAGCAGCGTCGTCAACCTCTCCACGCGCCAGTTTGTACAGGAACACCTGACCTATGATCGTTCTCCTCAGATCTAGACTCTGCAGCCCAAACAGTTGTAATAAATCATGGTATGGAACATCGTACGTATAAATATTAAAACATTTGTAAAATAAGAATCTTAAAAACTTTTTCTGGACTTTCTCTAAAGCATCTTTAAACTGTAAATGATATGGATTCCAAATTATGGAACAGGTTTCTAATCTTGATCTGACCAGCGAATGATAAAGCATAATTAATGTTTCAATGTTTCTAAAATTTGTACTTTGTCTAATTATAAACCCCAACATTTTACTTGCAGCAGCAATGCATGTTTCAATATGAAAATTAAAAGATAGTGCAGAATTCATGTGAACACCTAAATCTTTAATTTGGTTTACTCTACTAATTAAAATGCCATTTAAAAAATAGTCATTTCGTAAAAAATGTGTAGTCCTAGTAAAAGTCATTAGTTGACATTTAGAAACATTAAAAGTCATTTTGTTTGAAACACTCCACCTATAAACATTGTCAAGATCTTCTTGTAAGCTATTTGCATCATCAAGACTATTAATATGCTTAAACATTTTTAAATCATCGGCAAATAGAAGTGAATTTGAATTTAAAATACAGTCACTTAGATCATTAATTAGTATTGTAAAAAGACAAGGCCCTAGATTCGAACCCTGGGGAACCCCAGATTGGACATTGAATACAGCAGAGGAAAATCCATGATAGAAAACAAATTGTTTCCTATTAACAATGTAAGATTTGAAAAAATGCAATAAATAATTTGACATGCCATACCAATGCAGTGCACATATAATATCTTAGGAGTCATTCGCCTATCTTAAGTGATGAAAACTGCCCACATAGTGGACAGAAAAAAAAACTTGTACTTAATTCGTCCTATTGTAAAATCCCTATGTTTTCCCGTCATCTCTGGTAACGATTTGATACGCTAATGTCGATTGTTTTCTCTTTGTTGGATCTGACATTAGAACTTTACGCTTTGAAAAGACAAGCAATACTGGTGGTTTATAAATACATGGCTTTATTTAGAAGATTAAAGTAAGTTAAATAACAACAGATAAATAAATAAATAGATAACGTAAAAACTCTCTCTAAATATACGGACCGTAACACATATAATTTTTTTCTGAAAGGTAAGATAGGCAAATACGCCTTTCTATTAATATTATTTGTATATAAATATTTATTATGTTTTTTTGGTTATTTCATTGGTATTTTATTTTTTATTGTTTTCTAGGTTAGTCCATGTGCCATTTATTGTATATCTTCGTAATTCATTGAACTATGTATTTATTTCTCGTTTAGTTCTTCAATTGTCCAAGTTTTCACATGTACTGATGTATTCTTTATTGTTACTTTTGATACTCCTCTCTTTAGTATTATATATAGTCACAATGAGCAAATCTTTATTTGTAATCAAACTGAAAAATTGGTGTAATTCCGTTGGCAAACAAAATAAATAAAAAAATAAATAAATATATAAGGGAGTGTTTTATCTATATGGGCTAAGATTCGTCCTAGTAAAACGTATTTTCAGACATACATCTTTATTAAGGGAAGGACAATTATAAAATGTGTTACATGTGTAATCATTTCATCGTGGATGGAAATATGCTATGTTGATATTTTGACAAGGAATTTTTTTTTTATTTAGTGTTAATTTTCTCTTGTTTATTGTTGTAGAACATGTAGTAGAATTTTGTATATCACTGATGATGTATACAGCTTTTGTACATATGCATTTCTCAGTTTTTGTTGTGTTCTTTTTACTTTGACTTATTGATGTGTTACTTGTTATTGTGCTACTAACTGTAACATTTTATGTTACTTCAGTGAGGACTTCTCTAGCATACATACATGACTCAGTTGACATTTCCACAACGTAAACACATATATTCATTTCCAAAACTCTCCTCAACTCCTCATTCTCAGCAACTCTAGTCCTAGCGCGTACCTGCGGAAGAGGTCAAATTCCAACCCAAGAACATATCCGGATTCATCTCCATCGCCTCATATATTTCCAAGTAGGGGTGACGAAATATTATCCTAAGTGTTTATCAATGAACTCGTGGTGGGGCAGAACACCGCCCCCCCCCCTCCCCTCTACAAACTCCCGCGCTCGCACGCGCCTCAGATCCGTCTAAACTCTCAACTTGGTTAAATATAACTTGGTAAGCGTCGCCGTTTTGATCCAAATATGGAGTAATCTCAAGTTTCTGAGCGTCGCGACGGTAACGTCTAAGTTGGGGTCAGCGTAGTGGCGTCGGCGTCGTGGGCAGTTGTCAGTTACCATGGCCAGTCCAAGGATCTAGTGGTCAAGTGGTTTATTGCTCTGTGTGAAAAACATATTTATATTTTTGTAAAAAAGTTGAGTGTTGTGAAAGTGGTTTGGACATAAGTAAACTCGGTAAGTAGACTTGTTTATCTTTGAATAACTTAGTTGATTTGACAATATAGGTACATTTTGTAAAATATTAGTAGTAGTTAGTTTTAAATTAGTTGAATATATGTTATTTAAATATTCTACGTAAAATTATGAACGTTTTGAAACTAAAAAGTTTATTTTTATTTAAAAGAAGATTCTGTAAACATATTTTTGATGTATTAAATCAATTTGATGCTCAAACGATGAAAGAATGCAATGTACAATATTAAATTATTATTAAAATACAGTATTGAATCATACCTATTGTGTTTAAAGGGGAATTCACCATACATACAACGTGTGTATTGCATAATGGAAATAACATATTAATAATACTATGGGTAAGTATTATTCTAAAACTATGAAAAGTTTGTATAGGAATTCGTAAAAACTGTAGTTTTGCACACTACGCTAGTTTTTCACTTGTCAGGCTCAAACACAAACACAATAGTTAGTGTTTGATACAAATAAACACAAATGTTTTAAATAGTTAATGTATTTTATTTTATTTACCATTCATGAGCCAACAAACTATTGTCAGATTTTTAATTTAAAAAATTGGCGAACAATTCAAACATATTTATTATTTTAGATAAATCCTGTCAAATATTATTAGAATAAATAAATCCACACATTTGTTAGTTGTATTGTTAATAGTTTTTTATGAAAGGGTTTCTATGAAGAAATGGCGAAACAAAAAGCCAATTATCTAAAAAAAAACTAGGCCATATCTTAAATACGTTTGGACGTTTCCTGTATGTTTAACTCCAGTCGTCTGAATTTATTTGACGTTAACCAATTAAGAACTCGACGATGGATGAACAATCTAATGTGTTTTGACATGAAATATGCACAACAATTATATGTTATTTTCAGTTGTTTTGCGACGTTCTCAAATATTTTTTAATTGTAGTAAAGCAAATAAACTATTTTTTAACTGAATTTTACGGTTTAAGGTTCAAATACATGTCAGGAAACGTAAAACCAACTTTTAGTTTTGTAAGATTGTAAACTGTGATTTAATCGATTGTAAAACTTCAATCACAATTTTAAAGCATAAAATTGGTTCAGGGAACTGCAATTTTGGTAAACAGTTTCAGTTGTATAGTATCAATATTACATTCCCAAATTAATTGTTTACATATGCGTGCATTAACTGTTAGCTTAGTTTTTCATTGCCATTGACTGATTTTGTTGTGTGATGCTATTTGGCGCCCTAAAAATTTCAATAAATAAATTAAACCTAATTTTCAGTTAACTTTTTTACTGAGTTTTAATTTTGCTGTGTTACGATATGAATACTATAATATACTATTTATAAATGTGTATCAACAACCAGCCAATCTAAATAGCAGAAAAAAATCAATTCAGTACTACATTTTCAAAATATTTACTGTAAAGGAGTACACATGTCTTCAATTTTTAGAAAACCATTCATTCTTTGATATACAAGCTATGAGTTTAAACATTCTCAAATCGGAGAAAGTAAAAACGGGCAGTCTATTATAATCAATAAACAAATTTTACAGGTTTTTAATTTTTTTCATAACAAGTAGATATTTAAGAAACAATTTTATTGCAAAATAACTTTTTAATACATACCACAACAATTTCAAAATAGTTTTACAAGAGCCAATGAATAAAATAACTATCAATGTGTACACGTATTCACTTGTATTTGGATTCAATTTCATGTATTTATTTATTTTATTACAATGCTGCAAAATAGGATAAACCCAGTTACATTTTAGCATTAATATTCTAACAACAAACTCTTGACATGCATGATAAATAATAAATATGGTAAAAGCTCCTCTTGCTGAAGAAATTATAACTATTAGCATTGACTATATAACACTACAAGTCAATGCTACAAGTCAATGCTGCACTACAAGTAGTGTTATATAGTCAATGCTATTAGTGTATTCACTCACAACAATACAATAGATGACAATAACGAATAAATATCAATAAATAACGTACAAATAAATTCAATTTGTACATATTTTACTTGGAATATATCTAAAAAGAAATTATATAAATTTAATGAGTACTAAAAAAAGTATATGTAGGCCTACTACGTTTATGAATTTTTAACATTGCTAATTTATATTTTCCTGTTTATTGTATGTATCACTCAAGAATATTGTTAGAAATACAGTAAGCACCTTTATTGAACTAACAAATTCCATAAGAGGAAAAAATTCTTATTGACAAATTAAATAAATAAATTTACAAGTGTTGTGAAATAAATATTGCCAAATTTTACCCAATCCATTTTAAAATATGTTTAATTATGACTATTATCTTACTGTAAATCAAGTATATGTCTTTTATAAAAATGTATCTATACAATTTTATAGGTTTTGTATATTTTAATGACGTCAGAGAGATAATTCCACAAAAGGTAGTAGTAACAAAGCCGGGTGGGCCAGCTAAAGATGACTTCCATATCAAATAACCACCAAAATAAACATTCCTTCTTGTACGGTGCGTCTGCAGCCTCTCACGACACTAATTTGGGCCAACCTAGGTTATTGTCTTACTAACCTTCAGGGGGTGTAAACTGTTAGGTGCAAAGTAATATCAATTCAATACAGTACATTCAAATTAAAATAATCGAATGTACCTTGCAAATAGGTTGTGTGGCTAATCAAATTTATAAAAGTTTAGTTTTTGGTTGAGAAAATCACAGAGAGCAATGGTTTTTAAGTTGAAACTGCTGATTGTATGTTTATTTGTATTCTTAGTGCTTACCATGCCAATATTCCACATAAAATTGTCCATGTTCAAGTCAGTTACAACAATATCTATATATACAAAATTATTGGGTTTTCCTTAAGTGTTTAGTGACATACCAGCTTTAGGGCGTTTATAAAAGAATCATCAGGTTTTAATGGCATGTACCTCAGCGAATTCTTGTCCCACATTAATATTTAAAACATGTGCTTAAAAAGCATGTTTTCAAGTTTTATAATCAGCTGTTCAACAATCAGTCTTGGCTTTTTTTTTGGACGTGTTTGCATTATTTTCAAAATTATTACAATAAAAAAACTTGTGTTTTTCATTATGACATAAGTTTATCTTTAATAACTGTCCAGCGTGAGTTTTGGAGGCATTTTAGACAGACCCCTCCTACACACGGTATCGCTAGTTTGAAAACTCTGCCTCATCCTCCTCCTTAATATCTATGTTCGTAACTTCAATGAGAAGCTACCTCAGAGGTAGATTGGCAGATGTAACAATAATGACTTGACCCTTCTCAAATGGCTCCCTAGATCTCCTGATCTTACTGTGTGTATTTTTTTTCTATGGGGCTATGTAAAAGACAAAGTTTATGTACCGCCAATGCCTCAAACGTTTCAAGAGCTCCGTGGACGAATTCGCAATGCCGTAGACTCAACCAACCTTGCGATGCTATGCTATGCGATGCTTTATGGGACAATTTACAGCATAGATTGGAAACTTGCTCCACGACTAATGGACGGCACATTGATCACTTATAGGAGTATCTATGAAAACTTTAAGAGCTATCCTTTTTGGTGATATGTTTTATATCAGTATTTGTTTAACATTAACGTTAATAAAATGTTTTAAAACCTGATGATTCTTTTATAAACGCCCTGTATATTGATTGTTAAGATCGGAGGTATTTGAAGCACGCTGCTGAATCCTGAACATCCAAAATTCTTTCAAAAATGAAGTTACTGTATTTATCATCGATTGATAGGTAAACTATATTGCTTGAATCCTTAACAGTAACCGTAGATTTCGACGGTTTTAACCTATTAGTTATTGTTTTAAATATGATATAGGAGAAGGAAAACATAACTGTTTATTAATTTACTTCAAAATCCAACTTCTTGAAAAAAAACAAAAAAAACACACGATTTGTTAAAGTTTTGTCCTGTACACAGTTGTTGAGTTTATTAACAAAGGAACAATGTAAAAATATAACAATCCAAAATGTAATAAACTAAGCATACCATGCCTAGGTTTTAACGAAGCCATCACATAAAAGCTTAATTATATAATTTTACCTTAAATATCAATTACAACTAACAGCTTTCGATATCTGACTGTTAATGAACAATTATTTTAATTCTATAATTTGTTTGACAGATGCAAGGGACGAGTGTAGTCAATAGGACCATTCCTGACCCAGAGGATAACAAACCCATCAGGTAAATCGATAGGCACTTATTACTTGTAATTTTTAGTGATTAAAAAGTTTATAGGATAGTGTGTATGTGGAACAATATTTCCTTATCAGTTATTAAGCTTAAATTTCCATTTTTGCACGTAAATCAGAACTGGGTCTATTGATTCTGAATCTTTGAAATTTAAACTCTTAACTTTGGAAACTGCAAGAAGATTTCTTATCCTGTTGTATTTTGTATGTAGTATCTAGAAATGCTTGAGTGTAAGTGTGTTGAGCTTGACTTAAACTTTTCCTCGTTTTATGGTATGCAGGGTTCCTTGTACCCTTTTTTCAAATACCAGAACACTAGGAGTAGGTGTATAAAAACAGATTTTTTATTGGCCACAATGATTAAATACCCCCGCCGCAGCAAACCTGCAGACTAAGCGAATTTCCATTTGCCTGATTGGATTTACACTAAAATGTCTCCTTAAAAATATCACATTTATTCCCTATTTAAATAACTTTAGTTTAACGAGTACTTAGGTTTGCTGCAACGGGGAGGGGGGGGGGTAAAAAGGTGGTTTTTTGTAAAATGTAATAGTTTAGTATGAAATTAATACATTTTCAAAATTTGATCAAAATATGTTCATAAACAAGCAAACTACAACAGTTTACTTATTCTCCATAAGAATAACATGGGAATTTTAAATTTACAGATTTTTGGAATTTTCTCCGTAACCAATAGGCTCATATTAACGCTTCAATATACTAAATTATTTTTTTTTTAAGCTCTACAAAATGGTTTGGAAAGAAATTGCTAAATTTTAAGATTTTAGGGTAAAAAATGGGAAAAACCAATTTTTACCCCATAAAACCCCCCATAAACCCCTGTTCCTATAGTCCGATCATGCTGGTTCGCGAACTCGTCCGAATAAACGTAGGTTTACACGTTTGTACCAAATTTCATCAAAATCGGATGATTTTTGCTCGAGTTATCGCGCTAACGGACACATATATAAATATATATATATGTATTTGAACGGATGGTGTTTTTGGTCTCTAGGGACCTCAAAATGAAAAAGTAAATCGGTCCCGGGTCCAGGTCTTACCATGAGTACTACGGTAATAGCTTATTCCCTATAGGGGAAATTCGCTAAAAGTTAGTGAGTCATCAACAAGCTCAGTCCTTGCCAACGGACAGTAAGATAACATACCTAAATATTGCTTCTTGATAATCCATTAGTATGATCTTTAACTTTAGATAGACATAGACATCCCATTCTGTCTAGAGTCAAAACCGTTGCCAGTACAAAATTAAAGTATAATACAATTAAAAGTAGTTGAGTTACCACCACAGATCAAGCTATTGCCAATCAGGCCTACTAAAATCTACCAAATACTCTGCCTATATCAACAAAAACAAAGCCAAACTGAAAGAATTATTTATTTTAAGCCAACAAATAAATTATTTATAATCTATCAACTATCAGATAGTAACAAATACCCCCGCAGCAGCAAACCTGCCGACTAAGCGAAATTTCCTTTCGTCTGAATTGATTTTCAATTAAATCTATTTGAATAACATAGGGTTTAACGAGTTCCTAGGTTTGCTGCTATAAGGACAATAATAAAGTTTATTTTTTAGTAAAATATTATTAATTTGTATAAAATAAATAAATTTGCCAAGTTTGATCAAAATATATCTATAAACAAGCAAACTACAACATTTTACAATACGGTATTCTCCATAAGAATAACATGAGAATTTTAAATTTAAAATTTTTTGAATTTTCTCCGTTACCAATAACCGTACAAAAACACTTCGATATACTAAATTATTTGTTTTTTTGAGAAAACCCATTTTTTACCCCATAAAACCCCCGTAAAACCCCGTTCCCATGGTCCGATCATACTGGTTCGCGAACTCATTTAAGTTTATCCCGCCTTACACCTTTAAACCAAATTTAATCAAAATCGGACAAAAAATACTTAAATTATCTCACTGACGTATATATATATACGACTGTCCCAAAAGTCCCGGACCGGCTTAATACTTTCTAAACGACAACAGATAAATCAATAAGATTTGGTACATCAACACCACACCTAAAAATCTACTTTTTAAAAGGAAATATCAATTTTTTGTCATATCATGGGGACGTCCCGCAAGGAGTCAAAAGGAAATCTTAAATAGAAGCATAGGTTGACATGTACATCAAATTAAAGGTCTTTACTACCAGAATATAATGCCGCAAATTTGAACTCAAACGGACAACCAAGTCAAGAATGACAGTGGTTCAAAGATTCATTTAATTTGCATTTGGGGGCACAGCCCTAGGAATCGGAAAAAAAATTTTACGTAGATATAGGTCGATATGCATATCAAATTAAAGGTCTTCACTAGTAGATTACAATGCCGTAAATTCAAGCTCAAAAGAAGGCCTGAGTAAAAAATGGCAGTCGTTCAAAGATTCAAAATGGCAGGTTGAAGAAATCTTTGAACGGCTGCCATTTTTTACTCAGTTATCCGTTTGAGTTCAAATTTGCGGCATTATATTCTGCTAGTAAAGGTCTTTAATTTGATGTGCATGTCAACCTATGCTTCTATTTAAGATTTCCTTCTGACTCCTTGCGGGACGTCCCCATGATATGACAGAAAATTGATAGTTCCTTAAAAAAGTTTGTCGTTTGGAAAATATTAAACCGGTCCGGGACTTTTGGGACAGTCTGTATATATATAGAAATATATATATATATATATAAAAAATTTTAATGAATGGTGTTTTTGGCCTCTGGAGACATCAAAATGAAAAAGTAAATCAGTCCCGGGCCTAGGTCTTACCGTGCCACCTATGGTAATCGTAATAGCTACTTCCCTATAGGAAAATTCGCTAAAAGGATAAATAATGGGGTTTTGACAGTGTAGCACTAGGTTCATGTAATTATGATCTCTTTGAGTAATAAAATAGCCACCCGGCCCATATAGATGAAATTTCTAATCCAGCATCAAAGATCTAAAAGGCTTTTCGCTATTATAGAAAATCTTATGACAAATTTTAAGATATGTTTTTGTCAACTCACAACACTCAAACGTAACCTGGTAGTAAAGTACAGAGAACTTGAATGAAAACAAGCTTTAGATTCTATAATCGCAAGACAAGTTTACTTAGAGAATCCATGATAACACTCATCAGTATTGGTCAATTGTTAGAAATGATGTAATTAACATGTTTAATCCTCCTAGGGCCATTCCCACTCTGCTTTTTCCAAAGAAAGTCAATGGTAAGCAACCCATATTTTTCCGCAACCTCAGTGCGTTCCTGCACTGGAAAATCTACGACTACGTCACTTTGAATAAACTACACACATTTTTAAGTGCCTGATTAAATTTCCCTTAGAATATTAGTCTTTATTAAAAATATCAATAATAATTTTACCAAACCCAGTATTATCAGTATCAGACAGTAATCTACAAATACAAATTACAAACTATGACAAATGTGTAATATTTTTATATGTTTTTATCCTGCAAATATTTTGTAAAACTCATAGAAGTGGTTTAAAAATAATTTAAAGGTTGGTCGTTTCTTGAAATGGTTAGCTAGAAACTTGAGATTAGGTACAAACCAAAATAGATTTTATGAGCAGTAGGTATTTAATGCAGTGTTTGTACTGCAGCTTTGAAGTTATTACCAGGAGTTGGCAACTCTTAAATATACTGTTGGAAAGCTTTACTGGATGGTCAATTCCTTTTCTGGGTATTCAGTTCATTTTAAAAATATTAGAATAGCCTTCAGATTGGTTCTCAAAATGAATTTAGCGGAAAATAAAAAAAAATAAAACATTACCAGATATAAGATTTGTAGCCAAACAAAAGCAGTTGTATATTTCAAGACGAAGATATAAGAAGGATAAGTGCTAAATGAGTAGCCTACTATTGTTACTAACAAAGATCAGCGGCTGCTGGGTTCATTTAGCCAGAATCATTATTAAAAGTCCTGATCAAGGTCATGTGGGTACAGTTTTGAAACATCCAAGAAGCTATTAATTTTTATCAGGATCGAAGGTATGAATTTCTATTCAGGCAAGCACTTGAACCACTCAGCTGCACAGTTCCATTTTTCTTTTATTAATGAATTTTACATTTCTTCAAGCAAATCCATATAAATAAAATTATACCTTTGTCAGTACACCTACATTGCTCAGAATTATATATTTTTTGTTATTTTTATGTTTTATACATTAAAGAAGCCAAAACAAATCTTATCTTAATTTCTGTCTGTTTGTCTGTCTGTCACGGGCCAGAGGCATTTTACACGGCCTACTCCAAGAAAACTAGAGTACTGATCGTGATTCTAATAATAGTTTAATTTTGTATTCAGAGGATTGGTGAGAGTGTGTTTACCCATTAAAATATGGCCTCACTATTTTGGAAATAAAATAACGGACGATTAACACCCCAATTTTGAGTGATTTTTGTCAAGTTGTCTCCCTATGTTTACTACCATACATACATAATTTATGAAATACTAATCATCTGTTAAGAGAATACACCATCTATGGGATTCGTTTGTACACAATAAAAGACAAAGGAAGTGAGTTCCATCGCTACAATGATGCTACCCGTACAGATGTCTCAGCTATTTTTAAAGATGAAAACAGAGAACCACCTAGACAAAGCTATCATAATATATAGTTTTTTTTTATAATAATGTTAGACGCGTATCCATTCTAAAGATCCTTCTTTAGATCCACTTCCTCTTCTTCTGTATCCAACCGAAGGCTTTGGTTGAAACCACGCATTAAAATATGCCCAAAATAAAACAGAGCATAGAGATAATTTGACAATGCTAGAGTATGTGTCTTACCAGTTGGTGTCAAGAGAGGGATTTAGCTTGTTACATAGGTATGAAAAGCTCACTTTACAGTGGGTGGTTGACATGTACGTGCGCATATAGGGCACCCACCTGCAGTACACGAGATAACCAAAGCAGTCTGAAGGCGGATATGTATTTAAATGTTATAGGTTACTCAATAATTTTTTACAATATAATATTTTTCATATTTTTATACTAGGTCTTAAACTAACTTTAGAGTTGCTTTGATTGAGACATAGCTACTTATGTTTTCATTCTTCATTTTCTTTACGGGCTATCTAGCAAAATTTTAGTGTTGGACAGTGAGAAATATCAGCTGGCTTGTGCCAATTCTCTGATATCCACATCCTGTCCAGTGGGAAGTCTAGATGACCTTAACTAAAATGGACCAATTGTAATCCTTTCCAAGGACTTGCCGTATGTTTTATTCAATTTGTGGAGCAGTAATAAACAGCACTTAACATGGCCAATGAGGGTCGAAATTCAACTTTTAAAAAATCACAGCAATGACAGTTAAGCTTTAGAGTTAAGTTTAAGTTAACATTCCATTCCATGACAAACAAAGCTGTATTCTGTTTGAGAATGACATATAACTTATTTTAATTAGGTCTCCGAAAGAGGCTTTAAAATACAATTTTCTTTCCAGATAAAACTTTTTAGCCATGAAATTGATGAAGTGGTTTAATACTACATCATATTTTTTAAACTACATACTGTACAATAATTTCACCAACAATAAAGTTTAAAATACCCCCGCCGCAGCAAACCTGCAGACTAAGCGAATTTCCATTTGCCTGATTTGATTTTCAATTAAATCTATTCAAATACCTAACATTAGGTTTAACGATTACCTAGGTTTGCTGCATACAGGGTAATAAAGTGTGTTTTTTAGTAAAATATTAATAGCTTAGTATAAAATAAATAGATTGGCCAAGTTTGATCCAAATATATGCATAAAAAAGCAAACTACAACAGTTTACTTATTCTCCATAAGAATAACATGGGATTTTTTTATTTATAATTTTCTCCGTAACCAATAACCATACAAAAACACTTCAATATACAGAATTATTTTTTTTAAGCTCTTCAAAATGGTCTAGAGAAAATTTGGGAAATTTTATGTTTTTAGGGTAAAAAATGAGAAAAACCAATTTTTACCCCATAAATCCCCCCATAAAACCCCGTTCCCATGGTCCGATTATGCTGGTTCTCGAACTCGTTCAAATAAACGTAGGTTTACAGGTTTGTACCAAATTTCATCGAAATCGGATCATTTTTGCTCGAGTTATCCTGCTAACGGACACACATATATATATATATGAATTTGAACGGATGGTGTTTTTGGCTTCTAGGGACATCAAAATGAAAAAGTAAATCGGTCCCGGGACTAAGTCTTACCATGAGACCTACGGTAATAGCGTATTCCCTATAGGGAAATTCGCTAAAACTAAAAAAATAATATTACACTTGAACAGCAGAATGCTTTGTTTGTATTAAGCTCATTTGACAATGTTATTTTAGAAAAAAAAAAAAAAACTGAATTCAGCAGTTCCATAAGGATTGGATATCTATTCATCATCCAAAGTCAATAGTAATATGGACAAATTAATTATGGTATCATAGGAGTACCTAATTAACAACTAAAATCATTACAATCTAAATACATTTGCCAACCTCTGTCTGGTTTATCCCTTAATAACCCTGTTATGTTATAGCTGGGTAACTAAGTGTATGAAAGTGCTCGCCTAATCATCAGAAAATTTCCGGTGCAATCCAAAGAAAATTTAGTACTTTTTTGATGATTCAAAACTGGGGCCAACTGATCTTGATCATTGGATTTTAATAATGATGTCCCATCAGATCATGGCCAGAGACAAATCTATCATCTAATTCATTTAACCCAATCCTTCACTAATCTTTGCCTGGTGTAGATGTTTTTAAAATATAATCTGTGACCTATATACAATCTTGTAAAAAAATTACAAATTTTAAAAAATCTTTGAGAAAAAACTTATAAATTAAAAATAGGCTTTACCTTCGTCAATGCAGCTCAAATAATGGTGTTAATACGTTGTATACGGCCGTTTACAGACTACGAAATCTCGGCTGAAGTAGGGTCGTTGAAGTTAAAACACATAGCTTACACAAACAATACGAATAACATTTGAAACATTTTACCATATCCAACGTAGTTTACACTAGTATTTGAGCTGCAGAGACGAAGGTAAAGTCCATTTTTAGTTATTATACAGCTCAGGGGCTAAAACATGGATTTTACCTTATAAATTAGCTTTGATTTATTCCGTTTAATGAAGAATTTATCATTAGTGTAGTAAAATTTACCGTACTTGGTATGTCTAGGGGCAGAAGAAAGTCCCGATGGAAGCTGAAGTTCCACCACCAAGCGTTGCCGGCGGAGTACTTGGACCACTACACAGCCTCTCTCAACGCAGCGGCCGCCACAGCTGTGTCCAGCCCCGCAGTGACTCCGCCAGCCACAGCCCCGCCAGCCACAGTGAGGTACAACGACCTGCCGTACATGGGGGAGATGACATTGGACAACGCAAGACCACGCCGAGGCCGTAAACCCAAGAAAGCCGACATCTGTCACCTAATCTACAAAAACTACGGAACAACTGTTGTGGACGAACCTTTGAACCTGTGTGTCCGTGACTTGAAAGCTAAATCAGCTAGTGAAGTGTCAATGTGCAAGTTCAAGTTTACAGGTGGTGCCACACCTTCTTTGGAGGAGAAGAAAATGCTGTCTATGGATCCTAGTGGTAACTTCCGCTACTACGGGGGAGGTGAACCGCAAAGAAGAAAAAGCAGGAAATCCCTCGCCAGGGAAAAGCTCGAAAAGACTTTTAGAGAAAAAGGATTTTTAATACAGACTCAGCAGCTGGAGTCTGCTCAGGGAGCCACGTACTGCAAGTTCAGACAGTTACGGAAATTCACACGTTACTTGTTCAGGAGCTGGAAACATCATCTGCCTGGAGATGTTATTTCTGAGCCTGTTACGGAAACTTCGCTGGCTAGATAATGTGATAAGACTTCATGCAGGATAGGATAGAGTATTGTTCAAAAGTTTTTTTGTTATTTACAAAGTTTTTAAATTCTGATTCTCGGGTAAGGAAGACTAATTTTTGATATAAGAAATGGTTTGTTCTTAATTTAATTTTATTAACTTAAGTGTCACTTAAATTATAACCTTAGAGTGAGTTAAAATGGCACTAAATATAGACTGATTATTGGCCTTGAATAAGAGGAATTTTTTGTAACGTAGTCTTATAAAATTTATAATAATGGCACACTCTTATTTATACAAAAGTTAAATTTCGTTTGGAATAGTTTTGTGCTTGATTCACTACCCATAACAACTTATAGATTTGAAATTAATTAGATTACTAATTCTTAACAAAAAGTTAAATTTTAACTATTCAAACGATTATTTTAATTGACCTATTCTCTAAAAATGTTAACACAATTAGAACAGTTTTTCACTATTCTTTCATAAACAATCTTTATTTTAACAAATTCATTAGGTTTTTACGAATTAACTAGATATCTACGCCTTAATCATTGACTGAATACAGTCAGATAATTGCTAAAAAACTGTAATGTTAAAAGGCCAACGTTAAGGCTATGCTGCGGCTTTAGTCAAAACCTATTGATATGAAATTTGAAAATGTGAACAGTGGAAGGATCTGGTCAGTGGTGGTTCTAGGACATTGTCAAGGGGGGGATTGCACCTTGGCTACCAGGTGGTTTAGGGGTTCCCAAGAAAGGAGGGGGGATCATGTCCTCCTTCTAGAATATTTGGTATTTTTAAAACTGTTTATTGACTTTCTAAAGCTATTTTAAGGTCTAGAACTGTGCTTTAAAACCTCCCTTACGTTTTCCAGATGAGATCTATGTATTTTTTTAAATTTAACAACTGCTTTACTTGCTTTAGCCCCTGTAGCCCCCCCAACCCTTTTGAACCACCGCTGAATCTGGTAGATGTTGTTAAGATTATTCTTTGTAAGTTGAACCTCAAATTAAACATTTTTAACAACTAGAACTCTTACTGAGTGTGCGTCCAACAAAAACATAATTTTAAATATTTGTGTTCATGGGATGTGGAAAATCATTGTAACGATAGGCATAATTTATGAAACTAAATAATCCTTGGAGTTCAATGGGTTAAGGTATTGTTGTGATTGGTCCCCAGACCATCTTTATTACAAACTTAATCAATCTAGTCCGATTTGCGAGGTGTGATACGGTTGTATTTGTGATCAGAGTGTTTATTAATTTAGCTGCTAAGACTTATGAGATTATATAGTGTTTAAGATTTGTATAAGATTTTATATAAGACTTTATCGTTGTCAACTGTTGTAATATATGTAAATATTGTTTGCTTTGTTATCACGGTAAAATATTTTACTAAAATAAAACATTGGTTTTGTAATTTGCCTGTGTTTAATTATAAAAATGACCTTACATGTTACAGGTAATAAACATTTTTAGTTCAATCCTTATTTCTTGTAAGCTGTAGAAATTGCTAAGCAAATTGCTTTCAAACTACTACTGATGTGCAGAGTCATTTTCTTTCAAACCTATACAGCCTGTATAGGAGAATTTCCAACTAGAGACTGTTGATATGCATTGATCGCACATACAGTGATCACATGGTAATTGACATGGGCAAGAAAAGTCAGGGCTAGAGATATACAGGGGGGAGATATACATATGTATGTTAGTAGTCCTGAAGAAAAGTGGTGACTGACTACCTGATAATACTTATAGTGCATCTGGTCTTGAACCTACAATGGTTTGGATTTTCAGTTTTAATAGTATATTTCGTACCTAGGGCCGAAAATGAGGTTTTGCCGGCTCGAGATAGTTTTTAAGTTCGAGACGAAGTCGAGAACTTAAATCGATCGAGAGCCGCAAAACCATTTCGGTCCGTGGTACGAACGCTATTTTTCACCACACTATACCCTATTACCACTATTCACCACAATAATAATGCACACTGATAGTCAACACAACTACAACTTTAAGGTTATGTGAAGAAATAATTTGAGGAATCAGCAAAAATAAAAATATATAGTTGCTAGGCAACGGTGACAATAACACAATTCTATTGAAATGCTATGGATTTTGATTATGTATTTAAAATGCATTCATGTTTTAAGTAAGTAAGCGGACAGCTGATTTTGCGGCCCCGGCCTGTAAAAACCTGCTCGGTCCCCAAATTATGGACAGCTGGCATCGCCAGCAAAACCTAACTTTCGGCCACCAATTAACGTATGTAATACAGCCAAAAACATGATAGTGTGGTGAAAACAATATGTTGTATCAAGGAGCTGTGATATTAGGTAAATGGCAGTTTCACAATATTAGATTCTATAGTCAAAGACTGGTTTCTGGACTACTGAATCTGCAAGTATGAGTGAATAATCGCTCATTGCCTTTACCTTCATGGATGGAGATTTTTAAAATTCAAATTTAGACTTTGAAAAACTCTTTTACGAAATAATTGTATGAGTTGAGAAGTGACTGATAAGAGGACAATTCATATTGTTCTTTGTTGTCAGATAGATATTCTTCAACATTTTTAATGTTCACAGGATTTTAGTCCCAGTTCCAAGATTACTACTGGGTGAAGATTTTTCTGAAACTTGTTCTTGATAATTGAGTTTCAAGGTATACTGACTTAGCTTAATCTGGACAGCTATTTGACAGCTACAGTTTGTATGAATGTCATACAGATTAGCTAAGAATGGTCCATGGCACAGAAAACGTACTACTATAACCCAGAATGCCAACCGCATGGTAAAAAGCATTAAGCGGTTTGAGAGAGCTTTGCCTGTCAATCGGTAGGCAGCGCCACCAGCGTTGCTAGTAGTACGTTTTCTGTGTCCATGGCCAAGTTCAGTAAAGGGGTTTCATATTATATACACAGGGTACACATATAGTTTTGTAGCATTGCCTTTCTGTATATTAAGTGTATTCCATTATGACATGGATCCCTAATTAGTAGGCTACAGTTTAATGTTTGTTTACAGAACTTTGTATTTACATCTCTCATTTCTCACACAACTGATAAAAAATAAACCAGAGGTAATAAAAACATCCATTAAATTTGTTAAAATCTATTTCTACATAAAATTGATTTGGCAGTTCAGAAATTATTAAAAAATGTACAATAAATAAATAATTACAATCGTACGACAAAAAAATCCACGAATACAGAGTATGCTATACATAGGTAACATGTAATATCAAAATAACACTGACATCTGAAATATCAATTAACATAAAGTTACAGTCCATATTCCACCGATACAAAAAATACTTAAGGGTTTTATATGGTAACATGTTATAAGAAGCTGTGTAAAGGTTCCACATTCCCATCAGGAATATGACATATTCCAGAAAAAACATAAAGTGAATTACATTGTGTATGTCAGATATACAGTACACGTGCGTGAACTCCGAGCCATTACATTATAAACAATTGACAATACTTGTGTAATAGTCGATACACACACTAATCTGTAACTGTCTCATGGGGTAGGAATGTTTCTGATAAAAATATCTTTCTGAATTAAACAAAATATGATTAAATATGGTAAATCACTCGATGGGTGTTTCTGGCCTTCAAATTAGAAAAAAATTCAATATGACTATTTATTGGATTTTCTCACTGGATTACATGCATAAACAGTTGTAAGTTCAAACAACATTTATTTTAGTTTAACATGTTTCTGAAAAAAAAAATTGAATTGTACTTTTAAGTAAAGAAATTATATTAAAAAAACTACTTCATGTCTTGAAAGTTGAAAATTGTGATTACTTTGGACGGATAATTTGATTGTTTGCGTTCCTACCTAAAAAAAACAAAAAAAAAAAAACAACGTAACTGCTAAGGTGACTGAAACACCCATCAAGGTAAATCACTTTTGATGCAAAATGTAATGAAATAAGGACTTAAATTTCTACAAAATTGGAATTTCTAAGATGCAAAGGGAACTCTAGCATCTAACTGATCTGGGGGCCTCTAGTATAAAATTATATGCAAATAAGGCTGTACTCTGTAAGCTTGTCAATAATACACGTTAGTCAACACATATGAAAACTGATCAGTCGTCACGTAATCTAGGAGCAGACCGAGGGAAACTAACTGTTTACAACCATTCTTTCGTCCATTCAAGAATAACATATATACTCTCTCATCTTGATTTATCCAGGGAAAAATCAGTATATCAATATCACAATATCACTAGCAGTCCTAAAAAGATTCAGTAAATGCTGATGAATACGATCCAACACATGCAATTATTCCTGTTAAGTGTCGAGGCCAAAGGACCAAACAGTTTGTAAAGTAGACATTGATCTAATTTATAAGTTTGGGAATCCTGTCAGGGAATAAGAAGGTAGTTTTGTTTGAAACGAGTTGCGGGTTTCAGAAGGTAAGATGAATTGGTTGAGTTAATGTTGTCAAAGACTTTTTAAAGGTGTATTAAAAAATAACGTTCAGGAGTATGGTTGGCCACTGATTAGGTCTCAATAAATCAAGATTTTGTTACACAAATATTTCAGTCTCATTAGAGAACTTATTGACTTAGTCTGCACATCCCTTCTGACTAAGATGCATACAATATTTAAACCCTAAGTCTGGTAAAGATGGCAATGATAAATAGATTCTTTTATGATTGAAGTACTGATCATTCTCCTGAATACACCAAGAAGAGGAAAGTAAATAAATTTACTAAACATTTATTAGAGAAAACAAACGGATGCAGTTTCAGAGAGCAACATCAATTAAGGACACATCTGACATCTATTGTAGGACTAAAGTGCATTGTACACAGACAAAGAAATCTCATGACAGACCTTTGAAGAATCATTAGGAACACAGTACTTTGAGACAAAAAAAATATTCAATGTAAAACCAATGTTACGAGATTAGTTTTAGTAATTAACAAATTTCTCTTCTGTTTTCTGATTTTACAGTGTCTCAAAACATTATTCACAGTTGCATGTATGAATGTCTTCATATACAGCTTTTATTGTGATACCTCAAATCAAAACTATTACCATAAACAAAATTAGGAAACTGATATAACATTTTGGAAAATTATTTGAACCCTAAATATCCGTAAACAAGAATAGTTATCACTAAAAAATAAAATTTTACCATCCTAAAAGGAAATTAGGTAACACAATCAAGATAATCAGTAGCCTAAAACATTTACAATAAAATACATATACAAATATAATATAATACAATAACAATAGTCGGATATCAAGTACACTAATACAAAAAGTAAAAAATAAAAGAAGTTCAGTAAATACATGTGATGTAATGAAACAATTTTAAAAGTTATTTCAATGCAATGTGTTCTAAATAAATAACAAATTTGAGATCAATAGCAAAAACTAAAAATTAGGAAGTTGAAAATTTGATCAAACTACTCAAACTAAGCCTCATTAACAGTCTAAATGATTTTGGGAACGAGGTAAACATATAACATATATATATTTATATATTCTAAGTCTTGTTACATATAAATAGAAACATTACTTAAATAATTCCGTTTTCACACCATCCACACTCGAAGATTCACACACTCATTCGACATAGGCCTGACAAAATATTCTATTTTTACATAATTCTCTGACAATATTAATACTTTTATTTACATAAGCTCTAAAAAATCATCACTCTGTATAAAACGTTAAATTTTCCTTTCACTCGCTCATTCAAAAGTCATTTGAGTATATTCCTTATATCGTGAATCGAGTAAATTTGAGTAGAAAACATATATTGTGCAACAACTGGAATATAGATTCTGACAAAGACGGATTGTACATGCTCTACGGACACCGACAACTGATAAAAATATTGGTCAAGCTTACACGAAATTGTGACATGAAACATACCATGCATATATTACACGTACTTGCCCAGAAAGGCATTTTATCACTAATAAATTGATATTCTAAAACGCTTATTTTAAATAGGCAATAATGATCATAAAAATATACTTTGATTTTAAGGACAACTTTAGGATTCAATGTAGCGCACATTTTGGTATATTTACAATTCACTAGACGCTCTCTATGAATGTAATGATCAGAATTCAAAAGCTTGAAACGGTTTATTCGAGGTAACGTCGTTTCTCCAGCATTTCTCTTTACAAAGGGTTGTGATTTTAAACGATTCCAGTTGTTGCGTCATATACCATAATGAAAGTACGAAAGGCTGATACAAAGTTCTAACGTAGTTATCAATATACAGACTTATACACCTAACTTATCTTTAAACAGGCTTTAGACAACAGTGAAATCAAAACACTTCAGCACCATTCAGAGGGACCCCAAGCTGAAACGACTCTTACAAAATTATTCTGTTTCAGAAAAATACTTTGACCGATAAGTACCATTCGTATATCTAGATATAGATAAGGCTAGACGATTAAAAGATATCTTTTTATTTACACAAAGGTAACAAAGAACAACATTATGGTGTGGATTGGACAAGCACTCATATAAAATTAATCGCTATTTACAAATATCTCATAAAAATTCGAGAAAATCTCAAACGTTCTCGGGAATGTAGTGTCGACTCGATTCTGACGTCATACATCAGTAAATTGTTTTTTTTCAATTTAAATAAGTTAAATCACATCAAAGTCTCAGAAAAGAGAACCATCGTCAAAAAATACTATCACAACTCATTCTGTACGTAGTTCAAAAGTGGAAGCGAAAATGTTAGGAGTTAACCTTAAGAACATTGTTACGTTTTCGTTCACAAACCGAAAAAATTTGTTGTGACTATTCGTAGCACCTTAAAATCATATTTTGCTTCCACTATTGTCTAGCGCCATGTTAAACTCTACCCTGTGTACTATCGCCGACTTTGGGCCTTCTTGACAAACCTAATGTTGTACGGATCCTCAGCCAGTTCTGGATATCTGTCTACGTCTCGGATATATTCCCCATCATATCCGGTTGCTGCTCCCAGCTTCAGTATCTCGTCAGCCTCTTGTTGTGACCAGTCCCACGCTGCGGGGACGTTGTTGCGCAGTGCGTCACGTTCTCGATGCCACGCCTTGCGCAGCGCTGCTGTCTTGCAATGGTGCAGCAGCCTCTGGCGTTCCCGCGTCAGTGTGGTTCCGTAGCGCAGGTTTATCACTGCGTTCGGACGGTGTATTCTCACATCAAGAACCTGCAATGGGAGTTAGAAGATGTTTGAGATTTTTTATTACTTAAGTTATAATGCAGTTATAATACCTTTATTGATTAATTCTTTTGCTTGGGTCGTTGCAAAAAAAAATCATAATTGTGATACCTAAAAAAATAAAAAAATAAAAAGTAAAAAATAAAAAATAGCAATCCTAAAAACACAACCAGCAAAAATACTAGTTTTGTCTTTTAAAGTATGGATAGCTCTTGCCAAAACTAATATTAAAACTGATATCAACCACTCTACCTTCCCAGATCCAGCTTCACCGTCTTTCTCGTGGAAAGTCGTGTTGAACTGGGATCCGAAGCGCTTGAGCTGTGCTCTGTCTTCAGACGCTCGCCACGCGTCTTCCTTCACAAAGTGGAACGCATCCTGCAGCGCCCCGTGTGCAACTAGAGTGAACGGTAACAGGAACGTGTTGTTGAAAACAGACGTGATGACGTCCCTGTAGATGGCGTTTGCTGTAGGAACACTATGGACGACCGCCCGGTTGCCGGCTTGACGCGAGACTAGAATCCCTCTTCCAAATGGAGGCTCTGAGGAAGAACCTGGCTGTAGCAGCCAGTTCTGTATGTGCTGCGACGTCATGCCACTGAGCAGAATAAACATACTGTTATAATTGTAGTGTAATATCATAATCTCCTTTTTTTAACAATGTATAGACATCAGGAATTAATGTTGTTTTCAGAATTACCAACAGTGGAGTTATGACTTTGAACCTAGAGCTGTCACTTTTTTTGTATAAATGAGGTAATCATTCTTGTTGTGTCCCAGCTTACAATTTGCTTTGACTTTCAAGGTCCATGCACATACCACTTTAAGAACGTTTGTTTGGATAACAGTTTTGGCAATAAATAGAAATAGACATACCAACTAAAAATGAACGTAGTTGAATGGAGCCACGGCAGTGTACTGGTGTAAATAACTGATTTCTTTCTAATACAACAATGTCTATAAAGCCAAACAGAAAGGAAACATTGCATATAATTGGGCTTAATAAATGATCCTGGCTGAAGAAACGGCCGATCCTAATCAAAAGCTGATAAAGCTACGAAGATCATCCACTGCATTACATACTCTGCATTCATATTCAGCTTAAAATAGTTCAATACTACAAAAAGTATATGACTCAGTCCGTGAAATAATTGCTTAAGCTATTGACTCATGTTTTTGATAAAACTGAACATCATGGCTTCAACATGCATAGTTGTTGAGAATTTATCCTAGTTTCAACTCACTAGACAGACTTGGTCGGCTGAGCTCGGCTGGACGCTAGTGCCGGACTGAGAGGATCTAGTCTCATCTTAGCCTCTGGGTGACTGAGGGAGCTGAGCCCTCCTGTCATCATCTTCTGGCTCAGTTGAGAGTAGAACCCTGAGGTGACTCTGAACTTGTCAGTTTGAGGGACGCCTTGCTGCTTGGATAACTGAGGAGCTAAACTTGACAAGTCATAGCCAAGCCGCGACAACCAGCTCTCTTCATCTGCAAAATAATTTATATGATTGTCATTTAGTAAAATACACACTAAATTTTATGCAGAAAAGTTGATGCCAAGACTTAAAAAAACTAAATTATTTGAAAGAAGTCAAACACAAAAATCTGCCACTTATACAAAGATCCAGATTCTGTGGGAGAGATTAAAAGCCAGATGTTTCTTTGGATTGGACATATTTTAAGGAAAAAGCAGAACTTAATAGTAAAAACACAAACAAAAAACGTATTGAGTTAAGTTCCAGGAGACAGAAGACTAGGCTGGAAAGCAAAAAACAAGACCAGGTTTGGATGGATATGAGGAAGTTTGGAAAGATGCTGCTGAAGAGCTACTGGAGGGGCTGTGTTGATGAGGCCAAGATCCAAATGTGGTAATGAGTGGCCACTCATAGGAGATAAGTAAATATAAAGAAATTAATCATTATCAAATCGTTCAAAAGCTACGTAAAGTCATGAAAAGAGATGAAATACTCTTATCGAATCATATTATTTACATTATTAATTTGGATTAGAAGTTTAAAATTTGTTCATTCATAGTATAAGAGTATGTCTTTGTATTTATGGAACTTAAATGACAATTCTGAAGGGCGTACTAATGGCAGGTGAGTTGTTGGTTCAGTCGGTAGCGCAACAAAATATAAAACCGAGACTGAGAGGTTTGCCTCCCTGTGCTGCCACTTCAAATTGATCTTTATATTTCATTCTTGTTCTGTACCAGTTCACCCCTGCTTTGCTAGACACATTTCACGCTTACCCTTGACGCCCACGTGGACAGACAAAGTCAAGGTTAAAAGAGACCTCTAACTTCTTCAAAAAGAGCACCAACCGTATTGAAAATTACAGAAGACACACTTACCAGCAAGATGTCTCTGCGCTTGACCGACGTTGATGGGGTCGTTGCCGTTGAAGCGGTAGAGATGCAGCTGCCTCGGGTTGGTCACTCTGTTGAGTACGTCCTCCCACATTGGAGACATCCATTGACCAATGAGAGGGTCGTAAACCTTCCCTCCAGACATGTGAACCAAAGATGTCACCTGCAACACCCGACTATTATTTTCTTGTGGAAAAAAACTTGTGTCATGTCAGGGGTGTTTGTCAATGCCTATATGCTAACCAAAGTGTAACTCACATTGTTAGTCAACTTAACAACATACCATTCACGTAACATAGTTGTGTTGCCTGGAGTGTTGTTAGGTTTTAGTATTTTCTGTTTTTTTTTTTTATAATAATTCTGACAGCTAAAAAGGCAAGTTATATTGAATTAGTATGAACATGAAGCAATACTGAATGGTGGAAACAGTGTGACTGATATAGAACGATACAATATTTAACAACTTGTGTGTATAACCTTATACACATATTTTTATTTTAGATTCCATTACATCAAACAACTCTTATAAGCTGTATTCAGCTCAATTTCAAATTACTAGCAAAATATAAACAAAGTAAACAATATCAGAGCAAATATAAACATTGTGCTTTACTTGTTGTTGCAATTTATACCAAATAATATTTAACTTCTAAAGCTCCACCTAAAATTTTGATTCTCCCGCCCTGAGAGAATTTTAAGGAAATGAATTAGCCAAAGTATTGGCCAGGTTCATTAACTACCTTTGCTAACAATTTCTGCTTAGCTCAATGGTTGTTGCATTTACCAAGAAAAGACATAGAAATAGACACACACCCTTTGTAATATTACAGATCAAAATAGTATTTCCCCAAAAAACTAAACACTTAAAAGTATCACAATGATTTTACCTGATCCAAAAGACCTCCGCAGAAGTCCACAGGAAGGTAGAGGTACGGGTTTGAGTCGTACACAATGTGGCCGTAAGGGGACCTCATGATCTCCCGAATGCCTTCACCATATTGGTTAAACACCATGACTGGCGTACCACACTGGTCTGTGGCGATGTAGTACTTGTGACGGTAAACTTGGGCAAAGATCAGGTGTCCTCTGTCGTCATACACCAACGTCATCAACTTGCCATCACGGGGACTGTAGATCTGGGAAACCTACAACAGTGTTGTTGAACAGAATTACAATATTTGGTCAGGGTTGGATTTTAGCATACACCATTAAGAATATAATTGTAAGAATATGTGAGTGACTGGGTAGCTGGGTATGTGAGTGGTTTTAGTGCTCACCTTCAATTCTGAGAGTTGCTTATTTTAAAAGCAAGACCATTTCCAGATCCAGATACCATTTGTCTTTGGGGCTATGAATTAATGATACTATCTAACACCAAACTTTTTGTTAGATAGTAAAAAAAAGAGTTTAGACCGTTTCCTTACAAAAAATTAGATGAAAAACTATAAAAATGCCATATGCATTGATACATATAAAATATTTAAAAAAATATATTATACGACACACCACGGTGCATAAGGCAAAGGTTTGGACGACCTTTGAATGAATGGTTAGCTTGTTACTAACTAAGATCAGCTTGTTCATAGTTATGATCTTAGTAATGATCGAGGACATCTGGGTTCAGTTCTGAAACCAACAAAAAGCCTCCAACTGTTTAGAATCAACCAGTTCCCCTCTGACTACTAGATGAGCACTGTATTCCCTTGACTATCCATCTATTTTAAGTTAATTTACACCAATAAGTGTGTATGTTAATAGTTTTAATAAATATAAAACTAAGGGCTTTTTTAAATCATGTAAACAATTTTGTAAAAAAGCTGTTTGAAATCATTGTAGTTTTACCTCGTTAGGCCTCTGGTGATTGGTGTAGAAGAACTGTGTGACATTTCCATAGTTGTCCTTCCTCGTGGCGAGTCTGTCTAAGTGATCATAGTAGTATCGTACATCAAACCTCCCTCGCTTGGTGGCTCTTATCTGGAAATAACAACCAAAATCAATAATCATGTACACTTCTCAAGTACTGAGTGTAACAAAATAACAAATGTTGAAATGAAAAATATGGTTGTGCCAGTGTTTTCTTGAAAAGGAATAGGTTTTAAAGCAACATGTTAGACATAAGTTCTCACCAACAATCCCTTGGCATTGTAGTGGAATTTCTCCTCTCTTGCGTTCTGCACCACCAAACCTCTGTTGTCATATCTGTACATTCCGTCACCGAGCTTCACGATACGATCCATCACATTGTACTCCATTGGGATTGTGTTTGCCCTACAATAGACAGTACAACATGTAAGTAAAACCTTAATATTTAAAATGTAATTGGTAAATTGTAAGGTTCACTTCATGATTGAGTACCGGTACTCAAAACCAATCATCATCCAATTATGCTAAAGTTGAATAACAAGACGGATTTTTCAAGGGTCTTGCTTGAGCCACTATATTGGTCAGATATGTCCATTGTGTTTTCTTACCCTCTAGTTATTGTAAATAAAAAAAAATATGTCACTGACCACAATTTGGGAGGCTAATATAAGTTGAATATTAGTCAATGACGAGTGTAATGAAGTGGGGCAGCCAGTCTAGCTTTGTTACTAAATACAATCAGCTTTTTCTTTGGCCCAGACTATTCGTTATATCCCTTATAAGCCTAATGTTCAAGGAAAACTTGGTCCAGTTTTGAACCTTAGCTACATCACTGACTTTTCTTATGGTTGTACCAAACCAACATCCTTTTCTGTTGCAATATGGAACAATTATTATACTTACAGCAAGTATTACTAGACCAATTTAATATTATACAATTAAAATATTGACATGTACATTGTACAACACTGTCAGTAAGTTACACACCTGTATGTAAGATGTAGCATGTTTCCATTGTTGTCATACTTGAATCCCCAAGGTTCCTGGGCCTCCACTGCTGCCAACTGTCCATCGGGATCGTATGTCAAGTTCTTGATGTTGGTATACATGTTGACACCTACGTTCCGGGTGTAAGTTCGGGTTTGGCTGACGCGACTGAGAAAAAGGAATTTTTAAAATAAGTTTATTCATTGTATATATAAAAATGTTGAAGTAACTTGTAATAAAATTAGCAAATGTCAATGTATATTTAAAAAAGTTAAGGCTGGAAGGTTTAAACTGGGATGGACATGTATTCAATTCCACTTAATACTTTTATAGTTTTCATTAACTAATTAAAACATCAAAAGAGCACAAATAATTCAAGTTATGGAGGCAAAACTAATCTTAATTGTACTTTAGAGGTTTGTCATAAGTCTCAGCTGCAATTTCGTTTCTAGGTTTCCCTGGAAGTTACAGATTATTTTTCAAGATAAACTCACTTCCTAGAGTCGTAAGCAAACTCCATCCGGAACACTTCGACCGTGTGGATGGTTACGGAGACTGAAGCCACTTGAAAGTATGAGTTGGTGACTCGGCTGAACACAGCTGTCCCATCAGACAGGGAAGTCTCGTTGTCTTGGGGCCAACTCAGCTGTGACAAATGACGAGATTTTACATAATTTATGTTTATATTACAAATAAAAACTGTGAAACCATGATTATTATAAGTAATTTTTGTCATAGAGTCCAAGATTCATGTGAACAGTGTAATTTTGTTGTACTTCTTGTGTGTGAATGAATTAGTTCTCATTTACCAAGCCTGCTATACCAGAAAAAATTTTATAGAACGATGTGTGATTCTAAATGGGATATTTCAACTGTAAGAAACATTTTTTGTTATGTTTTTAAGCAGGGTCCAAGCTAGAACAGTCAGCACCATTGCGATTACTGTTAAATTAGACACTCAACACTTTAATGCTACTTAAAAGCAAACGTCTTTAACAAAAACCAAGCCCTATGAGTATGTTCTAGGTTGTTGGGAAGAAAGATGTTTTCAGGTCCAATAATTCTTGTCTTGCCCTATGATAGTAACATGTTGTTATCTCAAATAAAGAATATATAACTATGAATAATATGGATAAACAGAAAATACATTAGTATATCTTCCTTTTGCCTACTTACCGTGAACTGACCCAGTTGCTGTTTAGCCCCTGTCCGAGCATTGTATTGCACCACGTGCTCAGGTAGACTCTGTCCTCCAATCCTTCCTTGAACAGAGATGACTCGGAAGTTGTCGTCGTACTGGTAGGTGAACTTGGCGTTGCTGAGGCCAGTCTTGGGACTGTAGTCCAGTCGCTCCTCCTGCAGTAGTCCACCACTGTACTGGTAGTCCCACCGATACTCAAAGTCCTTCTCTGTGTGCAGAATCTGACTAGGCAGGTTGGTGTTGGGAACATGCTTGATCTGAGTCACTCCGTCGCCATGAACAACCTGGTGGGGAAAATATATTAATAAGTGTTGTACAACAGGACTGTTCCGAAATTGTGTTGCTAAATGGTAAGTAGGACTTTATAGTTGCAAATGGTAGATGGGATTGATTCAACAGGTTCAGTAACAGTCTTCACACATTTGTATCTCAAGCTATTGGTACAATCACAGCCACCTTTAACTCCAGGCCGTGGTCTGGTAGAATTGGCAACGTCGCAAGTGGTGTTGTTTAGCGCCAGATGTCTCATGATAACATGGCAGACAGGTGACACCAGCTCATTAATCCGTGTATTATTAATTTAAATTTAAATGTATCAGGGTGTCCACAGAAGATTTGTCAACAATTTCCATGATTATCCATGACCATTTACCATTGATTTCCATGACTCACAAACTTTCCCGGAAAATTAGAATATTTAGCAACCCATGAGGCCAATGAAAGTTTTGACTTTCAATTTAATTTGTTTATGTAATTAGATTTTGTTCGGAGTCTTTAATTATTACTTACTTATTATTATTTACATCATTTAAGGAAATCGTCGAAGCCGTTTTTGAGATCTTTGTTCAAGCAAGCATACAAGCATACATACAAGCAAACATTGCTCATATAAGAGTATAGGCATAGACTAACCAACACAAGTAGACTTCTCATCCCATTGTTAATTTTGAAGCACGTTTTTCGTGTCTAGTTCATGTACGTGACACAAAGGCGCTAGTGTCGATGGAACTTTGTTTCCATTATTTTAGGGTTAATTTCTTGATTTGTGCTTTACTGTTTGGTTATATAACTAGGGTACAAGTTATTTTTTATGATTAGATCGTATTATTTGGTTAAACGAGGTTTTAAATGGCTGTAATAACGGGAAACAAATTGTAAACAAAACACGACCTCTACATAAACCGTACATGAACTAACAATAAAATTGTCTTCAGCTGTTCCATAAGGATGAGAAATCTACTAAGGGAGTATGTTTTATCTATGGTATAGGATACAATATAAGATAAGTGTAGAATAGACATGATCTGTGTAGCTTTTTTACTGTTCAAGATCAGCTGAGTTGTGAAGAAGAAAGATGAGATGAGAGAGATGACAATGAGATAGCATAAAATTGAGGAAGATTTACTGTGGAGAGAAGGAGTTGGTGGAAGGGTAGGAGGAGGATACGAATGTAATGACAAACCACCTACCTCAGCCAGTTGGTCAGAGTTGTGGTATCTATACAGTACACGAGCACCATCCCCTGGATAGACAGTCTGTAGAAGATGTCCCCCGTGGGTGAAGTGCTGGAGGTATGCTCTGGTGGACCCTGGGGGAGTGTATGTGTAACGTATGAAACCGATGGACGGCTGTGCTGAAAACGAGTGACGTGTTCCAGACGGCAGCATTACGTGACGTAGGCCTCCCAGCTCATCATACAGCAGTGTGAACTTGCGACCACTCGGCAGGGTTATGTGACTGAGCTATGAGACAGGATGGAACATATCATAAATAGATAATTTACAAATGTATGAAGTTTGTTCAAATACTTGAAAGATTATTGAAGCTAACAAACTTTAGAAAATTAATTACAAGACATTGGTTCCTTATTATTAAAAGCGAAGTTCACAATAGGAACAAATTGAACAATACATTTGGTTAGACAGAAAAATCAATATACAGTACCTTAGAACTTAACTATGAGAAAATTAATAAAAAAACTATGGAAGCAAGTGGAGATGGGACAGTGTACAGAGATTGGAGGTGTTCAACAGAAAAACTTAATGAACACTCACTACCGGGTGGTACTAGACCACATCTACAGAGGAATGTGAGGAGTATGAGTCGATAAAAAGTAAATTAATTTTTCCTACAGTTACCTGACAAAGCAGGCTTCATTGCATTGATTATATCACACAAAGTAGCTAATTGATGCATTTACTTACTTATGTCCCACTCATTTTACTTTGCTGCACTCCAGTATTCCAACCAAAAACACAAAACAGGATGCCTAATTTTAAGTTCAAACATCTCAACCTCTATAACTTGAGCATTGAGGATGGATATTTTGTGAATGGAAATGTAAACTATTGTACAGTATTGAAAACAGTATTGTTTTCATTTTACTAACTATTTTTAGTATTGTATTCCTACCATGTTTCCGTCATTGTAGGAGAATAGAGTGCTTCCATCCTGTTTGGTCTTGATTTCTGCCAGCAGTCCATGTCTGTCATAACTGTAGTGTTCCGACTGTACACCCCACGCCCAACTCTCTATTCTGTTAAATCTGCAAAGGAAAGGAAACTTGTTAACAACACTAAAACCCAGGAATATGCATGTATTACTTATACTAAAATTGTAAATACTAAATGTAAATAAATCATAAAACATCTTTGGTTCTCAATACTTTTATTAACACCTAAAACCTTTTACGAATATTTGTTGATGAAATAAACAAACACACTGTCTAATAATTAGCAACAATCACTTATTTTTCAGAAATCGTTGGATGGAAAAGAATTATGATATTTTCCCAGACTTTGTCCAGTAACAAATCTATCACCTCATCCATCAACACTAATCCTTCAGTCATGTTTTTTTCTCGAAAAATACATTTTGGTACCTATGTCAGCATCTAATCTTATCTTACCTGTCATAAGTGATGTTGACGGGGAGTGATGTCTGCCCAGGTTGCCAGGAGAGAGGAAGTCCGTTGCCGTCAAACCTTACCTCCAACAGCGGTTCCTTCTCACTGTCCAGGATAGTCTCTCTGCCTGTCTTCTGCTCATACATCACACCTAGTACTCGCGAGTTGTTCACCTAACATAAGAGAACAATAGATAAAGGATTGATTTATCGCTTTGATTCCATTTTTAGTGGTTAAAAAAAATGATAAAATTGTTTGGGTATTATTGTAGTAGATAAGACGTTTTATTTGTCTGTGGATTAAACTTTGATGTAAAACACCAACTTCTATGCTTTTTTGATGGTTGCAGTTTCAAGAAAGAAGAAAAACATTTTTTCTTGTTACTTCAAAAGTACATTTTATGTTTGAATAAATAGTTTATAAATATGGGAAGGTTATATGAGATGTTTACAAACTACCTATAAACTATTAGATTTTCCTATAAGAAAAAGAAAAAGTTGGTATACTATTTCAAAGACTAGTTAAAGCCAAAGCATAGTCAACAGTTTTTTTTTGTCCTTACTGTAGAGTTATATACAAAAGATTTAAACTGATAAAATAACTTTGTACCATGGGTCAACATTTTCCAATTTTAAAATATGTTTTAATTAGAAAAACCAAAATGCTCTAGTTTGTTCAAAAATAGTGTTCCTTAGAAACGTATACTAATCACCTAAAAGTTGCCCCATCAACATCGATCAGATTTAGAGTTTTTTCTATTAAAATATAATAACATGTGCAGTAATATGTACGGTATATAAGCTGAACAAGTCACTCAGAGAGTGTGCTGCCACTGTCACAATTTGATTGATTATTTACTTGGTGATATTTTTGAAACAACATAAAAGGTGCTATATATAGTTCCTTTCAATTTGGCTTGGTTAAAAGCTCAACAGAAATCAACGATTGACATCAGCACACTCTGACATTGGCTCAATTCAACTAAATCTACTTTCATCTAAAACTGACTTCCTTGAACTCAGGAAGTTAATTGTGATCAATAGTAATAAAGTTGTATATTATGCTACATCTAATAATCTACAAGCAATTATTGTACCCATAGTTGGCGGTGTATAGTCTGGTGGCTAGTGCCTGCGTCGCCCACCAGAGCGTATGTCCAGGCCATACTGTTGGCAACTGGCCCACGCTGGCCGAGCTGACGGCTCCACAGTCTGAACATCTCGGCCTCTACTGGCAGTGACAGCTCCAGCAGTGGGTGACGTGCCTCCGCAGACACCTGCACTGAGCTGCCTGAGTGGTGACGCAGGACGAACGAGCCATTACGCAGACTCAAAGCTTCTGACAACCCGGCGAGACCTGGTCAAGTGTGGGCAGAGAGTATTATCTCCTCATAAACATAATTAAAATTTAATTCATAACTTTTTTTACTAATAATTACCGAATTGTTTAACTGATCATTTTTAGGAAATCAATTTAGTAGTCCTACAATTGTTACCCAAATAGGACATTGGTAAATTGCAGGTTATCAAAAACTCAGCAGTCTACTTTGGGTTTTGCTTTAGAACATTTTTTCATGTTTCCACCTTCCATAAGGTATCTGATTTCCTTCCTATAGAAGCCATGTTCTGAATGACACAAATAAGTACTGTTAAACCTCTCTGAGTCCGAGATGAGATTTCCCAGCATAGGACAAGCCAGGATGGGGGATTTTACTTGCCAGAAATTTATTTAAAGGTGTGGAGAACTAGTTTCTTCAATTTGAAAGACTCAATGTTCAATGATGAGCAGCCCAAGACCTTAAAATCAGGAACATCCAGAAAATCCAAAAACTGAAGTCCTTAAGAAAAATTGTTTAGTATAACAGTAAGCTAATGTACAATACTTTTTATGAAATGAGTTGAGTCTATGGCTACGTTGGTACCAGCAAACAGACTAAGAATTTAAGGCAGCGATGTCTTCGGTCACGTTTTACTATCACCACTATAATTTATGAGTACAGTTTATTCCTGCAAGGAATCGGAGGTCGCCAACCATTAAAAATGAATTCTTATCAACTTTTTATTTTCACACAAACCTTCTCTAATGGTCATTTTCTTGTTGCTGTGGCCCTCCATCTTGAAGGTGGTGACATGTGTTGTGGACTCCATGTTGACTGACGCCTGGACAGGAGAGGACACCTGTACCTCCAACTGGTCGTCAGCTGTCAGGCGAGAGGCCAGGTTGATGCTCTCTCCAGTAGGCAGCACCACGTATGACAGTCGTCCAAGGTGGTCGTACTGGTATAGGTATGTGGAACCACCCTGAGGCAATACAATACATTGATTTATGCTTGTTAGATCAATTGAACTTCAAAAAGCCTAATTTGAGCTGCAACTCGAAATGTAAACAGTGGCTTCCACAATTCTAAAACCTAATATTTTTAGTTTAATTTGGTCTAAATATACAAAACCTAACCATTTTTTAAAATTATTAAATACTACTACTACTACTTAAAGGCTATTTTCAACAAAAATAATATTTACTTTAAGAATAAAAACGTCAAATATCACAGATAAAAATTAGTAGTTGATAGCAGTTTTCATGTACTCACCCCAGCCATGAGGTCAGCCCTGCTAGTGAGGAGTCCAGTGTTGGAATCATAGTCCAGAACAACTTCTGAGCGACCTTTCTCCGAGAACTTGGTCAAGAACCCGACACCCGAGATGTTCAACTCACACTTGTGGTCTTGAGTGTTCTCTATGGCACTCACCTGGAAAAGGAACATTTGATTTGTAACTGGATAAAAGATAAGATATCTGTGAAAAGGTATCTTTTCACATAACATCAAAAGAGTGTGCTGTTCTAAAATAACACGTTTTTTCTTCACTGTTTTCTTTTTCACAATGCTAAACTCATAGGACAACTTATTTCTTAACTACAGCTTCTTAGTTCTTATACTTCTCCATAAACTTATCTAGACTAAATAAATAAAAATTCCCCCACCTCTGCAAACCTGCAAACTAAGCGAATTTTCACTAACCTCTGGCTGGATTACTACTAAAATATTCACTTAAAATTGTCAGATTTAATTGCTATTTAAATAACATTAATTTTAATAAGTACTTTGGTTTGCTGCTACAGGGCAGGTATTGAGGTGTGTTTTTCTATTGAATGGTTCATAGTTTATAATGAAACTAACAAAATTGCCAAATTTGATTAAAATATATCCATAAACAAGCAAACTACAACAGTTTTTTATTCTCCATAAGAATAACATGGGAATTTTAAATTTCTTTAAATTATCTCCGTAACCGTTAGCATACAACAACGCTCCAACATCAAAAATTATTTATTTTTTTAAACTCTACAACATGGTTTGTAGAGAATTTGTAAAGTTTTATGTTTTTAGAGTAAAACATGAGAAAAACATTTTTACCCCATAAAACCCACCATAAACCCCTGTTCCCATAGTCCGATAATGCTGGTTCGCAAACTCGTTCGAATAAAGACTGGAACACTTACAACATTGCTGTAGTCTCTTAGAAACAGTATCTTGTTGCCAGCGCTGTCCGTAACCGTGCTCAGTTTGCCGAAGCTGGTGTTTTTGCTGTAGAGGAATGTGTATTTCGGCTTCCCCGTGGTAATGTCCCGGGTGGTGATATGTTGTCCGTATCTGTTGAAGATGTATTCCTCTCCGGTCGGAGTGTAGGGAATACGAAACTCTCCATTCTCGTCATGAGTGGCCAAGTAGTGTTCCAGAGCAAGGATGTGTAGGTTACCCTGAAAAATATTACAATGACATAAGCTATAGTGATATTTGGAAATGTTGTTAAAATTAATTTTATCAGTGGTTAGTTTGAAGAATTTTATGTAGCCGAATCAAAACATTCTTCGGAACTGAAACATAGCGGGGGCTGTACTTCCCCTCTACATCCTCCACCGACCCTATAAAAACCTATCCTAATAGGCAACTGTGCTAGAGCATATCCTAAAGCAGGGAAAAATATCATAGCCTCAGTATTTGGAAATACACATAGTTTGTTAATAGTTTGAAACTTCAAACCATTCTCTGGAGACAGAGGTTCTGTGATATCACTGCTTTCCTTCTCAGATCGAGCACTGCTTCTCATAAAAGAGAAATAACTAACTAGATTTTAGTTGGTAATTTTTATTTAACAATCTAACTATCAATTTAAGATTATTTTTACTTCTACTACTTTTAACCTTCACCCTGGAACTGCCGGTTTAAAATTCCAAAATACAAACTATGAATAAGTAAGATAAGTAAGATAAGTTTTATTTTATACATTTTGTAGGAAATTGTATCTAATTTTTGGATCTTATCTATTGTTTGTTAAAATTTTTCCATGAAAGAAAATCGAATGCTTTTATTATTTATTCATATTATGACTGTGAATGTCAAGTCAGCAGATAAAGAAAACAAAAATTCAATTATTCCATCCCAACTTAAAAATAATACAGGAGAGTTAGCAAAATTGCCAACAACTTTATCTTTAAATTTATGCTTAATGTAAATCAATCCGTGAGCTTGAATATAAGTACAATAGTGGGTCGGCCATTTTGTGACTGGTTGCTCTACAGAAACAGCTGTGATTCGACATAAAATCACCCGGCAGTTCTAGGGAAGATGTAATATTTACTACCAGTCAAAACCGCAACACACCTGGTCGGCAACATTAACGACACCATCAGGAGAGACAGCGATGGCAGAGATGGAGGTGAACCTAGCAGTGGTAGACATGAGGGTCTCACGTGAGGTGATGCTAGTCTCTGTCCAACACTGACATGGGACAGTGGAGGAACTGTTGCTGGCCACACAGTCACATTCCCTGCGGAAACAAAGTTGTTAAACATACAGCGCAAGAAGTTGCAGGACATATACACTATACAGACAATTAGAATATAAGATGCACCCACACAGTTTTATTTGTTTAAAGTTCATTGTTTGTGATGGTAGGTTTATGTTGTTTGAAGGATTGTTCCAGACACTGTCGATCACAAAACGTGATACACAGACATCAAATCAGGCATTTTGATACAGTTTTACAAAAAAAAAAGAACAGCCTATGTTTGGATGTGACAAAACAACATAATAAACAATCAGAATGACAAGGCTAAATTATTTACCGATTAAAAAGTTATGAAGGAAGAATGGGAAAAATCTGGCTTGGAAAGATAAATTAGTGGAAAAAGAAGAATTTGAAGAAATGGTAAGATCAATCAATCAATCAATGTTATAATGATGTTATAAAAGAGAACTTTACTCTGAAAGGAAAACATCTATAGAAAATAGAAGAGGTGTAGCTATATTTAGAGAGGTTGGAAAAGCTTATTAGCACAAACACATTGATGAAGCTGCTTAATTGATGGCAATGATGAGTTAACTAGCCACAGCATAAATATTAAGACATTTTGCTACAGAGCTATTATTACTTGACATTATTTCTAATCCAACTCCTTAAATGCTACACCATTAATTTGGACAAAAATGGAGCTGCCTCTTTCTTGCTGAAGGCCCTTCATTTGTGTAAAAAACATGTAATACACCGCACTGTTAAGGATTTTTTCTAACAAGTGATCAGAACATTTTCTCTTAGACTTGGCTAAATAAAGGAAAACAAAAACTAAACTAAACTCAAGGTTTAAAAGCAATCTTCTTGTATTTAAAAAAATATTCTTACAGTTTATCTATAGATTATTTTGCATGATTGATTAAATAAAATACCTTTTGTCAAAGAAGTGTCCTCTACCAGCAAAGTCAGCCATTCTACCAGCTGGATCGACTACTCTGATGGCATTCACCTTGCGAGAGTCACTATCAGCGATGAACAGCTGTCCGTTGGGACTGAACGCTAAAGCTAACACTTGTCCCAGCGTGGATGGACTGTCGTCGTCTTGGTTCTGTTATAGAAAAGGAATAGTTTTAGAAAAGTCAAGTTATGGAACTTGACTTGTTGAATTGTTTCTTAAACCTCAACTAACTTTCACCAGAGACCTGATAGTTGGTGGTGGTGTAGAAAGAGTGAAGAACTGTGTAATCACATGAGCAAGCCAGTGACTGATATCTGCAGTTATAAGGTAACTGGTCTTGAACTGGAAACCAATCATGTTTTCAATTTCTCAACTCACATTGTTCATCAACATATTAGTATTTCATGCTATTGCAAAATTATTATTCTGAATAAGCTCCAATAATCTCAAAAGATCTCCCTGCTCTGGCTGGAAAGTTTGCTAAGCAAAACAAGTTTTCATCTTACTTACGATACAAGATTTACTGACTGTTATTTGGCAACCTCAAACTATAAAAACCCTTTTATGATTTCTTTTATTATTTATAATCAATTGTATATGATGTTCATAGTTCAAATTTTCCATGCAGTTTATATCTACAAAATTGTGGCTGTGAGTTTACAGCTTGTTTGACGTTCCTCTTTCTTTATTTCTAGCTTTGAAATTTGTGTGTTTTTTTTAATTGTTTGGTATGCATCCATGAGTATGCGTTATATAAAATAGGTGGATTTGTTTTCTGAAAGATAAAAGGTGCTACTGTTTAAAATTTCAAAATTTCAGAAAGTAAAAAAAATACCCCCGCCGCAGCAAACCTGACGCCTAAGCGAATTTCCATTTGGCTGAATTGATTTTCAATTGATCTATTTAAATAACATTAGGTTTAACGAGTACCTAGGTTTGCTGCTACAAGGAAACTAATAAAGTGTGTGTTATTTTAAGTAAAATAATTATTGCTTAGTATAAAATGAATATATTTGCCAAGTTTGATCAAAAGATATCCATAAACAAGCAAACAACAACATTTTACAATATTCTCCATAAGAATAACATGGGAATTTTAAATTTACCATTTTTTTAGTTTTCTCCGTAACCAATAACCGTACAAAAACACTTTGATATACTGAATTGTTTGTTTTTTTAAGCTCTTTAAGAAGGTTTAGAGAAAAGTTGGGAAATTTTGTGTTTTGAGGGTCAAAAGTGAGAAAAACCAATTTTTACCCCATAAAACCCCCCATAAAACCCTGTTCCCATGGTCCGATCATGCTGGATCGCGAACTCATTCAAGTTTATCCCGCCTTACACCTTCAAACCAAATTTCATCAAAATCGGATAAAAATTACTCAAGTTATCGTGTTCACGGACACACATATATATATATATATATATATATATATATATATATATATACATATATAAAAATTTGAACGAGTGGTGTTTTTGGCCTCTGGGGACATCAAAATGAAAAAGTAAATCGGTCCCGGGCCTAAGTCTTACCATGAGACCTACGGTAATAGCTACTTCCCTATAGGGAAATTCGCTAAAAACTACTTGAGATTGGTCTTAATTTGTTTGTGTACTAACCTGATTTTTATGTTGACTCTCAGTTCTAGGAGCATGTCCATCAGATTTTTTGTCATCCTTGTGTGAGTGGCAGTGGAGAGGGGTGCCAGCGACAACCTTGACCTTCATATCAGCTGTAAGCTTCAGCACTAGACGATCATCGATGAAGTGAAGACTGCCATCTAACGGACTCAACGACAATCCTGTAGGCCACTGCAGTTGAGCCTGATAGTGAAAAAATCATTAGAAATTGAACATATAGTCAAATAGTCAGTGATATTATCAACTTTGAAACCCCTTGTATACTCTCATCCTATTGTAAGACCTGAACTTTTGTTTTGGGAATTTCGGGATTTCATATTCTAAATGTTTGAGTATGTTGACATCGACTAAATGCTCCACTCTTTCATCGAGGTGAATTTTATAGTGTGAACTATGTCACAGAGTACGCTACTTTATGTGTATATGTGTGTACAGTACAGAGTATTCACAAAAAATGATTTTTAAGAACAAAAATTACTGTTTTTACCTGCTGAGCAGGGATAGCTCCCAGACATGGTATTGGTTGCCACACGTTGAGATGACGGTGATGTCCAATCAGAGTGTGAATGATACCATCAGGGTCAACGGACCTGATGTTGGTCCCATCAGCAAAGTACATGGTCTTGTCAGCTGCTATAGCTAGGCCTGGAAGTGACAAATTGATTAAATACGGTGGACTTCCGCTGTCACATTAGATGTGTGAATACTTGAATAATAATTTGTCTTATATGAAAAAGTTTGAAAAAAAATAACCAAACTTATAATTTTGTACATATAGCTTTTAATCATGAAAAAAGAATGAATGTATCGTCAATCACCTTTAGGATGTGCCAGTTTGGCCGAGATGGCAGGTCCTTCATCTCCACAGCTGGTCTCATCTCCCGGGATACATCTTTCCCCGGACCCTACAGCCGGCTCCCAGTTTATGCTGGGGTCCGGGACAGAGTCCAGGTTCAGCACCCGCAGGATCTGATGCCTCTCAGGGTCGGAGATGTACAAACGACCGTCCGCTGGGGAGAGGCTCAAGTAGTACTGGTAGGAAACTTGGGTGGCACTGTAATGTTCAGAAGTGTTATTATTCAGACAAGTAGGTAACTTAAAGTTTTGTTTGTAAACAGATTATTTCGTTCTGTGATAGGTGTTTTTTTATTACAGTGCCTACTCAGTACAATTAGAGTTAATTTTTTCACATTTTTGGTAATTGTATATCCTCCTTGTATAAGTTTCTAGAAAACATCAGCTTTCTACTAAAGCTAAGATTGTAAAAAAATAAGCCAAACTGAGATTCCACTGTCTAGAATATGCTATATTTATTTTATCTTTTCAACTGTTAACCTATTTGGCTCTATTGACCAGTTGTTATTATTTCACAACAGTTATCTCCATCGTTTGCACACCCAACACCACTTGCCACCTGTATATGTATATCAGCTTTTTACCAACTCATTATAGGTTCAAAGTTGCTCACTAGACCAAACTGCTTAGAAGAATTTTTTTTGAAAAAAGACATGGTTTGTGACCAGATCTTTTGGCCTTCTAACGATTCAAAAGTTTTTATGTCGGCAGACCACTGGCCATCGGAGCAGCTAGGACTCGAGCTGTTGTGCAAAAGACCGCAATAGTTATAACATAGTATGGCTAGTATACAGCTAGCCACCCAAGAAATCAAGACAATCCACACATAGTCTTTTCAGGTGCAAATTATTAAAAAGCTAAGATATATAGTTATCCTTAACATACGTGTAACAACATCTACGGATAAATAATCTATAGACTAAGACTACAGGGATTAAACGGCAGATTCATTTTCATCAAAGCCGCAGTACAAACCTGAGTTGTAGCACGGTGTACACACTTCCTTGTGGAGTGAGACGCCGTACCAGGTTGAAGTCTCCGACATACAACGATCCATCAGGTCCTGAGGTGAGAGCTACCGGGGTCAGCAATCGCGCGTCCTTGGCAGGACCATCGCAGTCCTTACACACAAGAGGCCTCTGTAGTCCAGTGCCCATCACCACACGCACTGTGCGCGGGAACTGCTTCAGATGCAAGGTGGAACCGTCTCCCTTCTGCAGAATACCTATGACCAAATAAAAATGTTTTTAGAAGTTATATTCAGTAGTATAAACAGTCAACAGTATAATGCCTAGCTAATTGGGCATCCAATAATTCAGCATTAGCTAAGGATGTTTTTCACTGAACCTTTCCAAAACTTTATGAATAAAACCATTATTTTTAATCAACCTTTTTCACCTATTTGTCAGATACAATACTAGGGCCTACTATTGTAATCCCCAAAGTGAAATCTGCTTTATGGATTTTTAAAACCAAAGCACCACTGCCTCAATATGCTTTTATTCTTGACCATAAGCGTAAATTTTAATTGCTTTGTAGTTTTTGAAAATAAAAAAGATTTTGCAAAACACACACTTCACGTCCGGCAGGACTTTAAATCACAGATTTCCTTTTAAAACTCAGTTTAAAAATTACAACATGTACCAGTTGTACAGCTACAGTTGTGTAGCTAGGTGGGTAATGAATTTAGAAACATTCTTACCTCAAGATGGCAATTCTTGCCCAGTCCAAAACAGCTCTAAGACAATACAGGTTACATTCGGGATATTGCCCTCATGACTTGACTTTGGAATTATCCATTTCTAATTAAAGTAAAGTAAATGAACTAAAGGGAAGATCACAGATAAAAAAAATAGACTTCAAGTTGGTACAACATACAAACCTTCATGGAAGTTATAATGATGGTGAATGTCCAGACTCCAACCCCCAACATCAGAAATGTCAACATCAAACCCTTGCAGCATAGCTGTTTGTGTCTCCCAGATGATGTTTGGACAAGTTGCGTGTTCGTAGCCCACCGATATCTTTGCCTGGGCCACTCCATAAACCTAAACATGCGGTATTCATCAATAATAAAAAAAAAAATTATGTAACCTTACAAACCAAAAGTTAAAATACTTGATAAGAATATTAATGGGTTTTGCATCTATCAAAGTGGCTACCAATAATGATGAAATCAAGAGCTGCATGGATAAACCAATAAATATAATGGTAGACAAATTTTGATTGAAGAAACTGTTCTTTAAAATTTACAATCTAAACATCAGAACATATTTCAAGATTCTTAAACGCAAATTTTACTGAAATGAAATGGTGAGATAACTGAAGTAGATGGGGTATCATCCATAGCGTGAGTACTGAGTAGTATGCTTTATCACTCATTATATTTCTAATTTGCTCTTTAAGTAGCTTAACATTCAATTTGGTTTACATACAGTACAGGGATACTTTGTTGTTGTGCACCTTTAGCCCCATTTGATGCAAGTCGTATTTAAATATTTCTCACTTGTGGTAAGGTTAACTAAATTAGTTTTATTCCTCATCGTGTAACTATGCAAAAGTTTTACTTCTTGCTTATAGCAACATTTCCAAGCCAGGCTACAACTCAATTTAACCTTGAAAATCATTTAAGATTGAGAACCAAGCAAACTTTGTACTGATAAAACATAAGTGAATCACACAAGGGACCTACCTTCTGTTTATAAACATTGCGCTTGTTCCAAGCAAAGGTGTGAGTGAGGTTGGGATCTGCTTCGTAGGTCTTGCTGTGCACGGATCCCTCGATCTCCACTCGAACATGCACTCGGACGAGGGACCGAGGAATGAGGGAATGAGTGAGCCTCATGACCACTCTAGAGAGGTATCCAGAGGCAAGGCTGCTGCGATACATTAGATGGAGCCCTGATCCAGGGATACGGATACTTTCTTGCAGCATCTGTGATGGAAAAAGTTATGAGTTAGATTTGTGCTTAAATTTCCAGATCAAAAGATAGGTTGAAACTAAAAAATAAAAATTTTAACTTTGTAAAGGATTGGCCTTCAGATTGTCAGAAATTGTCAAGTAAGGTGTTAATTAGCGTTTGGTTGGTCCATTTAAATTTTGTTTTGCTATTGTCTATAAGTTAATAATATTTTTGACAATCTCAAACATTATAGTATTCAAAAGTGACACTTTCAACTGAAATTAAAACTTTTTTATATTAGATATTTGTTGAAACAGTTGTAGTAAAAGTTAAACTACCACAGATTGCTCAAAACGTAACTTGAACATTCATTTAGGTTAATTCTTAAATGAAAAATCTTCCATAAAAGATGAAATGCCAAATCAACCACACATAATAAAGTTTAATTCCAGCTAACTGGTTTAAAATACAATTTAAATGAGAGAGAAAGTACATAGAAAGAGAATTTAAATATTGTTCTAAAACAAAAATTGCAACTTATAAACTTCTATACATTTTTAAAGCTAGTTTGTAATCAAATTCTTACCTTAATTGTTTTAGACCAATAAAGAAGAATACTTACTTATATAACTATTTATACTACATCTTTTCACAACTTTTTGCTTGTTTACAAAAATGATTTTAATTTGATAACTTATGTAAACAAACCTGAGTTTCAGCAAAGATGAGACTTTTTCCTGCCATACCGCCGACTTTCTCAGGCATCCATGTTGAGAGGACTACTGGTACCAGAAGAGTATTGTCATGGTCCAAACAAGGCTCAACCATGTGCAGTGCAGTCGTCAAACTAGGGGCGCCTGAGACAAAGACGGTAACATTATATCAACTACCAAACTCTTGTTAAAAAAGTGTGAAAAAATAGTCTAGTTATAGTCCACAAAATTTAGGCGGTTTAAGGGGAAGATTTTCTGGGTACCCAATCCACTTTTTTTGAGTTTAATGTAAATATCACCTCATCAGCTGCCGGCTGTTGTTTCAACGTTAGGGTGAGGTGGAGGGGATGAAATCACTTCCCTTCTAACCGCCTAAGATTTGAGAATGAAGTTTAGGTTGATGTGTGGATACACATGTTCATTCATTTGTCTTTGGTAGCCTATATAACTGTGTTGTTCATTTTGTGAAAATACCAGCCAGCGTTTCAGATGTATTAGCACTTACCTAAGGAGAGCACAGGGTGCGGGGGTCCTCTATATCCATCCGCATCGTCCCCTAACTGCATGGTGATGGGAGGAAGCACCACAATCTGGTTCCAGGGGACAAACAGGGTGCGTGTGAGAGGCTGGAAGGGGCTCCGCTGGAACTGAAGTGTCACTGCACCTCCTCCGTTGACCAGAACATCGAACCTGGAGGATAAAGTGGGTGGTCAGTGCTTGGATATTTTTGTTTCATTTTTAACTTTGGGAAAAGATAGAGGCCAAAAACGGATATATTTCAAGAATTATATCGTAATTTTTGATAGATTGAAAAATGTATGCAATCCCATGTAAATGTGAGTTTCACAAAGTCTCAGTTTGTTATCAGCTGAAGGTAGGTCAGCAGAAGCAGTTTTCTGGCTGTAAACTGGACACAACTGGCCACCGTCTTATCACTGAAGTCACCACTAGTTTGGGTATTGAGCCGGTCTAGTGGTAAGGTCCCGGGCTCAAATCCCGCCAATCACCAATGGATTTTATCTATGTGATAATACAGCAATCCTCGAGGACTAGTCAATGTAATGTGTAAAACAGTTCCAGGCAAAAATCTAGCCCCCTAAGATGTAAAGGTTGGACAGTAATATTAATAATTTTAAAAAGTAACCACTTGTTTGCCCATGTGAATTTACTGTACGTAATGGTAATTCCCTGTTTGTGGAAGTTGAGGTTTAAAAGATTACAAATATGGTGTTCAGATTATTCGGATTAATTATTTTGGTAACTTTCCACAAGCATGTTCGTAGTAATATCTATTGGAAGTCTGGAACCTATCATTTTGTACTCAAGAAATAGCAAGGGAAAATTGTAGAATATTTTTTCAGTTTGAACAAATGAATAAAATATATCTAGGCTTTGTTAGGTTATTCATACTTACCTTGGCCCTCAATTTAAACTGTATATTCATGTTTTTGATAGAAAATTTCCAAATCTGATTGTTATTCGGATTATTTACTACTACAGGTAACAACTGAGCAAGTTTGATAAAATAACAATGTCATCGACTAGAAAAATATCAAAAGTTTTCATGAGTTATCGTTCAAAATTTAATAATTGAGTTGCAGGTTATTAGAAATTTAAATATAGGCTAATTGAAAATTGTATAAGTCATCTTGAACTATGTAAGTAGTCTTAACTGTAATATTCTACTTTATATTCTAAGTAACAGTTCATTTCATGATTGACATGAAATAGACTTTTTCCATAAAGAGTTCATATATTTTTTTGCAAATCTTTCTATTACATTTTTAATTGAAAGCATAATGTTTATACAGAGACATTCAACTTTTATGAAAGGTTCTCTTAAAACATTTTTACTAGGACTCGATTACAATTAAGCTTATAATCCATTACCATGATACAAAACCTCAATTACTTACCATCCGCCAGCTCTAGTAAGGGTAAATCCGAATCGAGAATCACGATCCACGGATACTCTGATCCCGACTATCCCGAGGCCTTGAGGAGACAAAACTTGACCTCTCATCACGGATACTCTCCTGCAGGAGGGTTAGAACACAATGTACAACAGAGGACTCAAATGTTGAGAAACATTTTGATATCAACCATAATGCTAGTCAAAAGAGGCGTATTTCATTCAGAAGACAATTAAAAGTATTATTAAAAAAATGATTAAACCTTGGAAAAAGCACACCTTATGCAGATCTAAAAGAAGTTATACGAAAATCTACTGAACGGTATGAATAAAGCAAATGTATCTTAAATTTAATTAAAATTGAAAGGTGAAATTGTTTAAAGTACCTTACGATATAAAGAATTTCTGATATAGCTTTGTGTAAAGTTGTAACTACACATTATTGTTAGAAGTATAGATAAGTTCTAACTAGTTGGCATTGTAAAAACTGTAGCCTAATAATTTTTAATTTCTTTGTTAGTAATATTTAAAATATTAGGTACCGGCATTGTTGTGTCATAGAATTAATATTGGGTTTTCTCCATAGTTCACTGACAGTCACCAGAAGAATGTCTAATATAAATCCTACAAGCAAATCTAACAGATTTCAAATGCAAGTACGAAAGATAACAGTCTTTACATAAAGATACAAGGTTAATAAATATTTCATTATTGAATATTAAATATATAATTGTAAATAATTCCAGCACAGTAATGGTATTTACAGTTGGTAATTTGCACTTAAAATCTTTTGTTCTTATCTCTGTAAAAAAAAAAAAAAAAACACAAAAGAGCATCAAAATAAAAATTTATTTGTATTGAAACTTTTTTTAAGTCTACACCAATTGGAGTCATGGCTCACCTTCTGCTGGCTATGGCCTGTTTCACATCTACCCGGCTGCCGGGTGCCGGGCGTCGTTTAACCGGCAATGGGGTGAAGAAGTATATGGCACCGTTCACACATGCACGGCATGTGTCGTGACCGGTTAATTACTTGCCCGGCTGCCGGGTACTAGTCGAGGGATGCCGGGTGCCCCCTCGGCGAAGGCCGGCTGCCGGTGCCGGGTAAACAAGCCGGCTGGAGTAATGGGTATAGCGGCCCAATGTGGCTGTTCACATACAACCGGCACCTGCCGTCTGTCGGGTGCACCAAGAGTACTTTTAGTTCAGTTCTTTGTAGTTAATGGGTATTAATTTTGGGTATTTGTTCGCAAAGTTTTTGGTCATGTCCATGAATAGACCATGAACTACTTATTAATTTAGTTCAAGAGCAGAATTATTTGAATTAAATAGAATTTTTACTCAATTTATTTTTTTATTTTATTACATAACATTGAATTAAATTTTACTCAAATTCAAACTGAATCAAATTTAAAAAAAAAATCAAATATAAGTACAATTGCAATAAAGTTATTTCAAAGTACCTAACATTACAATTGCTCTATTACGTTCTATTTCCATCCCTACGACACACAAGTTTCACAAGCTTGAGTACAACTGCCGGAGTGCCGGTGTCGGCGTAATGTGAAAGGTGCACTCGTGCCGGTGCCGGCTAGAAGCCGGGTTAACGGCATGCCGGGTAGAAGCCGGGTATATGTGAAACGAGCCTATGTCACGCCTCTCCGCCTACCAGCAGGCTACTGTATTGCAATTTGACCACATTTTTGTTAAGTGTTTTTGAGTTTATGATGACTCCCCCCGAGATGAAAAGGATTTTTCTAACTACTTGGTATTAGCTTGAAAATGAACCTTTGGGTTCAAAGCTTTTACTCGACACTTGAAATGCATGCGATGCTCCTTTTTTGTCTCTCGCTTTCTTTAGGGCTACTGTAAATGGTTTATTCGTGATTTAATGTTTTGTGACTGTGTTTAAAAACCGTGACGTGGCATTATGTGTCAATAAATTCAAGTTTTGTATAATAAGTATCTAAAGATGGTATAATAATACCGAAACACGTAATCCTGTTGGATGATTGAGGACCACTATAGGCAGTCGGCAGGAATTGTAACATTTTTATTTCGATTTGCATAAAAGTGACCTGGAAAAACAACTACAACATGAAGTCCAAAGCTTTTGTCACGAAGAAAAAACAAACAAAAAACAATCATTTGACGGTATATAACTAAATGCAAAAAGGTATTTAACCTTTTTCATTTTTCGATGTGGGTAGCCTCCAAATTACCAATATAAACTATGATTGATTGTTTGAATAAAATATGTTTTAAAATACTAAATACATGCAGGGTGGAAAGGACAAGAGCACCTTTGATCATGTAAATGTCAACCGGGATAAAGTGTTTAATGGTGAGGTTGTGGTAGTATTTTAACTAATTTTAACCATTGTGGAAAGTAACTTTCAAATGCCTAGGTACCTTACGGCTATGAATCATAGATCTATAAAACATTTTTTTTTAGTTTAATCATTGGATATAACATAAAAATGGAACACGATCCGGGTGACATTTAATTCCAAAGCATTTGTTTTGGCTTGAAACTGTCACATCCGTATTTGCGAAGGTTTATATAATTATAATAGCTTTGCCAGCATTTCTGAAAGTAAGCAAACTAACTGCTGTTCTTAATATAAGTAGGTTTCAACTGACTACTATAGGATCTTCGTGCGTAGAACGGGCACACAGCTAGTATTACAAAAAATAATAAAGACTAAAATATAGTAAATATAATACTTGGTGAAAAGTCACTGGGCATAAAAAACATTTTGAAAAGATTATGCAGTGATATGCAACCTCCTCAGGGAGACGCCCTCCTAGGAGTCAGAAGAGAATCTTAAATGTAAGCATATGTTGATATGCATCTAAGAGGATTAAACATTAAGGAGAGGGCACGCGAATAGGAATATACGTGTTGCGGTGAAGCCAGCTTTAGCAGAACACTAGAGGGGCAGGCGGAGCCGTAGAGTGGCAAAAAGCCGCAGCTTTAACATAGGAGAGATAGGGAAAAACGTGACGCACGCTGTTTTGGATTAAAATTTCCGCCAAACTAAAACACTTGTGTTATTCAGCGATGGCATTCTTAAAGTAAATAAAATTTCCTATCGAATGAATCATTTCTATAAAAACTATTATTTTGATTTACTATTGAAGATCAAAGTTGAATGAATTGTTTTTGACTTTGAACAAATGATTTCTTTAATTACGATTTTAAAATCGTATATGAAGTATGATGTATGTATCGTATATGATCGAATATGATGTATCTATACAAATAATCAATTTATTTGTGTTCTCTAAAAGTTTCTCAAAATAAAAATAATATATTTTTACCGATATTTAATTGGAGTATTAAAAATAAGAACTGTATTAACTTTTTTTAATTTTTACAGTTTTCAACAAGTTTATTAAATTTAGGTTTTAAATCAAAAATACAATTAGAATTTTGAAATAAATATTAAATTAGCATTTCTAATTATTTTCTAAAATTTTTAATCCCATTTTATGATAGTTTTAAGGCATTTTTGTGCTAGGCAAGTACCGGTAATTTGAAATAGCCGAAGTCAAGAAAAGATTAAAAGTGGCTTTAATCACACTCACAGCCATTCAAATTAAATTAGGAATATAAAAAGTAAAACATTTTCTTGCCCATTAAAATTTTTGATTTTTTAATCATATTAAGCCATTTTTTTAGGACTTATGTTAAGAAATATCAAATAAACTTTGAGTAAAAAGTGAAATCTTTCAGTTCTCGCATCCTCTGACGCCACATTGCGTACGTATCATTATTTTATAGTTTTAAATTAAGTTGAAATTCTCTTGTTCATAATACAAGGAATAAAAACCTTGCTACCATATATTTTTTAGACTGTCTAAAACTATTAAAAGCCATATTGTAATCTCACTAACAATATACAACAAGCTAATACATTCAATAACAACAACATATGTCCTGAAAAAAACTTTTAAATCTCAATTCTAAAAATGGCTTTTGAATAATCCTTTTTATCCTCCAAATTTTTTTTGAAATGCTTTTTATTAATTATTAAGTAGAGCTAGCAAATTTACCAAATTACTTTTGGATTTAGTTGGTTATGGGGTTTAATAACTTCCATTATTTTATATGCCTTGAATTTTTCTTAACAATAAGATTATTTGGTTGCAATATTAAAATATGTATTGTAACATGTCTCCTTGTGTGTAGTATATTGTATTCATTAACTGACTATGCTAATTTTAGCAGTTTTATGACATTGTCAATAATTTGTATGAATTCACAATAAACTCATTTAATTTCATTGCTTAATTAATTTGTAATTTTTGATATTTAAATGGATGCCATTTTTTACTCAGTTGTTCTTTTAAGCTCAAATTTGCATCTTGTATTCATGTAATAAAGACCTTCAATTTGATGTCCATATAGACCTATGCCAACGTTTATGATTTTCTTCTGACTTCGCGTCTTCCCTCAGGAGATCTTTGAATGGGTGTCATTTTGACTGACATTGTATTTGACTAACAAAGGCCTTAAATTTGATGTGTATATCTAGGAGGATTAAACAGCCTTAAGGCTGTGCGTCTAAAAATGTGAGCATTTTATTAATTTTTATTTTGATGTTATATTTTTAGTTGGACCTTTAGAATGAGTTATCAGCAATAAAAAATTTTTGTGGAGTTTTGTTTGGTTGGAGAGGACATGCTCGAGTTTCCTTGAAGCCAGCCAGCCGACCGCGCACTGTATCGCGGTGGGAGGGGAGCATTGAGTTCAGAAACATACATAATAACATTTAACCGAACCAGCAACGAAACACACCAACCAATTAGGACCGTTATATTGTCATATTAGATATTTAGTTACTTAAATAGCAGTCATGTATTTAAAATATTTATTTACTACATAATGTGAACAAAATTAAGAACTTAAATTAGAATTGCAATATTAGAAACCTAACTAAGAGGACGAGTGTATTCATGTACGAATAGTAAATTTAAAGATGGCCTATTAATATGTTTTTAATCAAACATAATGGTTGAAGGATGAATGCTTTTATTTTTTGCCCTGCTAATATTGTGTTAGTATTGATTATACCATTATAATCCAATACTCAAATCATAAAGTAATTGTAATATACG